AAGGCATTATTTTAAAGTATAATTGGTGAGGATTCAGTTAATCCACTCTGAATACAGATAGCATAATTTTTAAGACCTTAGGTCTTGCGGCCTTAAGAAACAATGCAGCAGCACTTTCCAAAGGACAGGCCTCATGGAGGAACATAGGTAAAACATGAACTGCATTAATAACATTGAATTATATTTTTGACATTTTGCTTCAATTCTTCAGATTATGCCAAGAAAGAAACTCTGCTCAGAACCATAGGCCTTTCATATTTCCTGAACTTATTATTCCTTTTACTGTGAAAGATCAGGTCTCAGGCTTAAGCCTGTGGAAGGCACTATTATTTGGCAAAAATTCAATGATTAAAAAAAATTAGTCATAATTACCTTTTATTTAGGTAAAGTCACTTTCATTTTCTTTTATGGTAATGATAGTTTCCTTTTAAAATATATGCACTGAGGGCTTCCCTGGTGGCACAAGGGGTTGAGATGCAACATATAAAGCTGTCCGCAGCCACTGCAGCACGAGTTCGATCCCCAGCCAGGGAGATATCCACATGGCTCAGCAGACCTCTCCGGGCTCGCCTGCTGCTCCCCTCAGCAGTGTATCTCAGTCAATCTGCCTGTTCTGTTCCTCACTCTGTCTCTGGTTGATCCTCTCACCCCCCACACCTCTGGCCTGTACCCCGGTTTCTTGTATACATAAATTAATAAATCTTAAAAAAAAAATAAATGCACTGAAAGTAAAAAAAAAATCCTGCCTTATTAGTACAAGTAGTATAGGAATGACTAATATTAGGAAAATGGTATGTGAAAGATAAAGAAAAATGAGAGAAACACTATTCTAAAATGCTCCAAGTATTTGTCATACACTAGTATCCATCTGTTATCTAGAAATGCAGGATTCCACCTTGGAAGACTGAAGAAAGGAAGGGTATCTGCCAGTTGTCTTTTCACTATAAGCTTGTTCTCTTTGTCACAGCCATCTTGTAAGCTGGGAAATATCATCCCCATTTTATAGATGAGGGCAGTGAGACTTTAAGAGTTTTCTTGTTCCAGGTTATACCACGTCAGTGCTGCAGCCAGTATTTGAATCAGGGAGTGGGACAGTGTCTGTGTGGAGAATGCAAGGGTGATACAGTTTCATCCATCACCTGCTTGAAGTGGTTAGAGTCCAAGCAGCTTGCTGTGGGAGAATCCTGGAAGCAACTGGACCCTTGGGGAGAAGGTTGCCATTGCCTTCTGGAAGGTTTTGCCCAGATCTTGGTCTGAGTGTTAGCAGATGGCTTTTACTGAGAGTCCAAAGGGAGAAGGAAGACATAAGAAACAAAAGGAGGAGGGGGACAGGATGGCCTGAGAGCTTTGGTTCTTCCAGAACCCGACATTCTTCTCTGGTTTCTCCCTCGGGTGTCTATTTTGGAGACATTGAGATATTTTAGGCATTTTGCTAAGGTTAAAATGGGATGTTTATAGCACCTCAATCCTGGCAGACAGATGGAAACAATTAACACCATATCTTAAAAATCTCATAGTTGGAAGCTGCTCAGCAGCTTTGATGCTTAAAATCCCTCTTGGAGTGACTGGAGCAGAGATGGAAAAAGAAGGGAAGGAAGATTTGCTCAGCACTTTAACTGTAACTGAGCATGTTAATAGTTCTGTGAGGTGGCTAATATGATTAACTCTATTTCCCAGATGACAAAACAGAGGCTCTGAGAGGTCACACAACTCAAGTGAATGTTGTGGTGCATCATCGCATTTACTGGTTCTCCAGCCTCTCTCTCTATAGAATTATCTTATTTGGATACCTGCCTGTTCCTACTATAATGTAAACCTCAGAAAGCCAGGATGTTATTATTTGCCCTTCTATTTGTAGCACAGAGCTTAAAATATATTAGATATTTGATAAGCATTTGTTAAATGAGGTTGGCTGAGGAAAGGATGTAAGGAAAATCTCACAAATGAAAGCTCAAGTTTGTTGCCACCTCAGCCCACCTGAAAGGAAGGTACGAACAGAAGCACTAATAGAAGGGCATGGGCTGGGTTTCTAGGTGGGACCAGACCAGATTAGAGGGGCTGCTAGAAGTCTGAGGTCAATTAAGAGAACCCCTGGCAGACGGGATGCCCCACATCATCCATGGGAACTAATAGAAGGGAGTCTGAGGAAACAGCTGAATGGGCACTGGGACTGAGCATGGAAAAGGTGACTTTGGGGTTACTATATAGACACAGAAGCCTACAGAGAATGGAGTCTGTGTCAAAAACTTGACCTGTAGAGGTGAGATCCAGGAGGGTGCATGAGCAATGAGGGTAGGGCAGCAGAGCTGCCTCCAAAAGGCATGCCCCTCAGTTGAACACTTTCCCTGAATATCTCACTGGTGAGGCGACCAGGTTTATCTGTGTGGTTAATTCCCTTTGGCATTTAGATAACAGTCCCCTTTTTATTCCATGGTACAGCAGTACCTCGCCTACCAGTCTGCTTAGAAGAACTTGGAGAGAAGCCCAGAGACATCACAGCTGGTGAAAGGCTGGTGACGAGTGTCTCATAGCCTGAGATTAATACACAGAAAGCATGAAGGACACTGGCTGGCATGCAATAAGCTCTATAGAATCTTGTGTTATTAGAGGAAATTTCAGTTGGCTCTGAAATGGAATTTGCAACATCACCCACAGATAACAATGTTAATGTGAATACAGGTTGCTTCTTGAGGCCTGGTGAACTGGAAAGGATTCCCTGGACTGTCCTTTAATAACCTGCTCCCTTTCATTGTGGAGGTGTGTGGCTAGGGTCACTGTGGAAATTCAGAATCCTATGTGGTTGGTTCCCTCTTGTAGGTGCTCCTTCCAGGTATCAGTTTACCGCTGTGGGCAGAGGGTCACATTCAGCTGTGACACTGGAGCAGCCTGGTGAGGATTTTGTACAGAAAAGTACACATTTCTTTCTGCAATAGGATCATGGATGTGTTAACATGAAAAAAAGTGTAAGGGATTTTTGTTGTTGTTTTTGCTTATTTGTTTGTTTTTCATGGAAAGAATGATGAATAGTTTACTGGCACTGATGAATGGGTTCAGACTTGTATTTAATGTGGCAGCTGTGATCCTGATGTCTCCAACAACAAGAGCAGTAACGTCAAGCCCTAAGGAACTCTTAGCTCAAACCAGGCTGCTTAATCAGCCAGCCTGACCAGTTATGTGGTTTTCTAGATATTGGATGCTCCTTTATTGACTCTATATGGAAGAAAAGAATGATGGATATTTTTAGCTCTTTATCATTTGCTGGCAAGATTTTAGGATAATTCTTTAGGAAAGTTTAGTATAACTGATGCAAGTTGTTGGATTCACCTGTGGATATTTTTTACATGAATGTACAAATTTATTAGTTCATGTTAACTTGCTTTCCAAGGTGGTTGCTTGAAGCAAACTACATTCCCACCTGCGGTGTGGGAGTCTCTATTCCATCTATCTGCCAACAAGTGGTGGCAGGAGATCTCTTGTCTTTCCTCATTTAGTTATTATGTCTCATATTTTTAATTAAACTTTTAATTTTGAGACAGTTGTAGATTCATGTGCAGTTGTAGAAATAATGCAGAGAGATCCTTCACCTAAAAGCTGTCATCATCTATCTAAACTAGAGTAAAATAGCACTCCAGGATAATGGCATGAATGCAATGTTAGATCTGGTTCTGATTTTCTGTTACTTGTATTCATTTGTGTGTGTGTATGTGTGCATGTGTGTGTGTATGTGTGTGTTCATGCGCACAAGTGGTTACTTTCAAGTGATTTTATCATGTGTTGGTTTGTGCATAAAATACCATAGTTAACACACAGAACAATTTCATCACCGCACAGATCCCATCTATCACTTTTTATTTGGATTTTTCTGTCTGCAAATGGGAACAGCAGTCCTTGGATAAGTAACATTTCACACATAAAGTTTTCTCAGTTAAGTCCTCTTACAGTGCCCTCTGGCCCCGGGAGAGAGAAGAGCAGGCCTCAATCTCCTGGGAATCTGCCTCTCTTCCTGAGACTGGAGGAGCCTGATCTGAGAGGCATATGTAGGGAGTTGAGCAGCTGGTGAGTGGAGAACTTGGATTAGCATGTTGGATGGAAGGATGGGGTGCCACATTGTGCTCCCCATTCTGCCCCCAATGCAGCACACCATCCATGAGATCTGGCTGTAGAAAAGATCAGTGACATAAATGGATTAGGAAGGCCTGCCTGGCCTCTTCCTGCTGCCACAGCACCTGGGGCCCTCCATACAAAGATTAGTAGGTAGTCACTTTGTTGGGGGGGTTTGGGGGAGAGAAATTTAAATGTCAGCTTTGGTTTAAAGGAGTGCTGCTAAGGAGTGGGAAGAGAACCAGCCTTCTTCACTCCTTCAGCAAATCAGGCCCGTGCTTCCCTGTGAGTCTGCACCTTTGCAAAACACAGACCTTACTATCCCTTCTAATGAGTCTCGCTCTTCAGGCAGGTATTGGCAATCACTAGAGACAAGGACGGGTGCTGGCACCAAATCCTGCTCTGCATGTGGCAGCCAGAGAGGAAATGATATGAATCATGTATTGGAGGCAAAAAAGATGGTTAACCACTTTCCCAGACAGAGGAGGAGAGCAGGCAACAGACACTACCCAGGCATAGGTAGCTGTACTGCAGTGCATGCCAGCTCGGAGGGAGGTGCCATTCTCCCGGGTTTATTTGTTCCTTCACTTATTTACTCACTTAACCCTTCATTTGGGAATGTGTATATACATACATACATATACATACATACATTTATACTTGTATTATGTTGTATGTGCTATATGTGCTCATTTACTGAGAAGCATCACCTAGTCAGCCTGGCGGCTCCCCCACCCCCATCCCCATGAACGTTTCCTTATCTTCTCCTGTGTCCCTGGCCCTGTACCCAGCCTGGGGACACAAATGATAAAAGCATGGTGCAGGCATGGGCTACACCTGGGCTGGAGTGGCGAGTGCTGGCTCTGACATGTTCCTGGACATTGCAGAAGTTCTGCCACATGTGTGTCTTTGTAGGCATGATCCTGGCTTCTGTGACCCTGGCCAGTGCCCTACAAGTAAAGGGCAAAGCTCTGTCTGAAGAGGAAATCTGGTCCCTCTTGTCCCTGGCTGCTGAGCGGCTCCTGGAAGACCTTTGTGATGGTAAGAGAAATATGTTTGGGGTGATTGAGTCATGGGGAATTAAATGTGAAGCTTCTCTGACAAACACAATTCTGGCTGCTGTTTCCTGATGTGTTATAGGTTTGAAGGATAAGAACAAGTAGGCAATGCCACCCACCCATGGAGCTGCATTGGGAGGGTAGGTCTGCCTCCTGGACTTATGGCATGCTGCAGAGTAGGAAGAAACACCTTGCTTTTGCCTTGATATTGCAGCTCTTCCAGGCATGGTGCCTAGGCAGCTCTATAGGACTCTCCCAACACCTGGGCAGCCTGGGCATAACCAGAGATTGGAGGCAGAGGGTCAGCTAACACCCCCACACTGTCCCCTGTCCCCATTTGGAGAGAGACCCCCACACTCTGTAGTCTAAACAGGGAAGGTTAATATAAAGAATTAATAAACTTTGATTTAAGAAAACTCCACATGGCCCCCTCAGGCCAAGGGCACTATCAAGTGAGAGACAAGCTTTGAAGTCTGGAATTGGGGTTCAGATCTGTTGGAGTTATGCTTGCAGTCCAAGATGACAGAAAACTTGGCTAATCTGCGTGGTCATAGATTGTCTATTGAAAGCAGTCACTTGAAAGCAGGGTGCAGACAGTCACTGACGTGGGTGGGGTGACCCTCTGGGTGGTGGTGGGTGCAGGGAAGACACAACCCTGGATGGTGGTATGAGCAGGAGACCTAGAGCTACCTTTTCCCCTGCCCCCTGCACCTGTGTAGACAGGGTCAGGAGAATTTGACCACAAGGCCAGGTCAGATTGCCAGGTGCTGGAGCTGCTGTGGGTCCAGGGCCTATGTCCCACACACCACTGGCCCTCCATGGAGCCAGCCTCCCACATATCTCCCCAGCACATCCTACTGAGAATGCTTCTCCTGGCACTCGCTATGAAGGAGAGGTGTCTAAGAGAGGAGCAGCTACTGAATGATGGATTTGGAGCTGCAAGGCATTAACTTGATAACTGGAACAAATACCAGGTGCCCAGTCTCAGATATCAACTCAAAAGTCACCCATGCCTGGGGGTTGCCAGGCCTCAGTGGAGATTCCTCACACGTGAGCTCACACAAGCGCAGTCAGGGTGGGGGTCCTAATGTGGGGAGATGAAGGGAGCCTATGTACCTGCACCTTCGGCTTTATCTTCTCCCTCAAGCTTCACTCCTTCCCTGCCCTGGAGGTTCTGATGAACAGCTACGGTATGCTCAGAAGACCAGCTGCCTTGGTCCTTGGCTTGGCTCCAGTGAATTAGAGCTTGTACCAATCTCCAGGTGACCCAACTTTCCTCTACCTTTTACATCGAGACTTCGGGTCACTAATGAGTTTGGATGCAGGAGCTAGTCCCCCCGTCATAGTCCCCACCTTTCTTAACACATGCTCCTGGGAACACAGGTGTGAGGTTTGAGTTTGTTCTGCTCATGTTTTCCCTGGCTGTGGCTCACAGTCCACCCCAGAGTGGGTACTGGAAGGGATACTCTGGGCACAATCCCACAGCTTGTTCTGCAGAAGGTGGCCTGTTTTCTATACCCATCACTGCCTTGGTTTCAGATTCTTCGGACTATGTGATCTGTCCCTGGTCAGCTTTGCTTTCTGTGACTGGAAGCCTTTCTTTCCAAGACCATATTTCTTATATAGAGGCTGCTCCTTTCAAGGCCCCTGAACTGCTGCAAGGACACAGTGACAGTGAGCAGCCTGATGCCTCTCAGGTAAGGCATGTGGTGTCTCTGCACATCCTTGGGCCCTGTCCCTGGGGAAAGACCTGGTCCTAGAACCTCAAATCTGTCCTCCTGGGGATGGCTTCCTCAGCTTCCAACTCATCCCCAAGGAACAATGAAGTAGAGTAGATTTATAGAATTTTATTCCCAGACTTTCTTGCCGGCAATTTATATTAGTCTTTAATGAAGACCAACTTCTCTGAGCCTCAGTTTCTACATGTGTAAAAAGGGGTTAACATGACCTAATCTATCAGCTTATTATAAATGTTAAGAATGAAGTGTTTTAAAGCTGTGGGTATATGGCCTGCCACATTGGTACCATTGGCAGCATGCAGCAAAGCCCTAAGAAAGACCCAACAAGTGTTCAAACAGGAATTTATCCTAAGGCATGAATAATGATTGATTTAACTGCAGCAATATTTATTACTGCATTGTTGACATTTGTTATAAATTGGAAACAAGCTAAATGTCCACTGAAACAAGACAGCATTAAAATGAAATCTAGAAGGTTATTTAATGTCTTGGGAATAAATGAAATATATGCATGTACAATATGTACAATGTGATCCCAGAGAGAGAGAGAGAGAGAGAGAGATCATTCTAAAAATACATACCCTAAGGTGTCGACAGTGATTATTTTTGGATGGCAAAATCAGTGATGATTTTTATTTCCCCACGGTTGTGTTTTGCTTCTGAATAACAAAATGTTCTAATAAACCTAATCTTCATTTTAAAAAAGATGAAATTCTCAAGATGCAAGGTATGATGCAAGGCAGGCACACAGCACTGGGAAGGACATAATAGGCATTTAGTCAATGTGTTCTGCTCTTCCTTCCACGCCTTTTCATGGAGAAAGTGCAGGTCTGTAAATTCTGCTCCTCTCTGGAGGCTTCCTGTCACTGGGGCTGCTTTTCCTTTAGGCTCAGAGAAGAGGGCTTTGATGGCTTCCAGGATTGGCTTGTCTGGGTCCCTGTGTCACCAAGTGACATCATAGCAGTGAAAGCATCAGCGTCCCCATGGCAGTGGCCCTGGCTCCATCACCCCACTGCCAGTCACCCTAGTTTTCCAGCCCCTAAACCCTTTTCTACATTGCCAGAACCCCGGGGGTAAATCCTCTCAGATTCCCACTGTTTGTCTCTGATGATGCTCCACCTTCAGCGGGTTGCATCTACTCAGCTAAGATGCCACATCCTAAGTCATGGATCTGACTTTTTTTTTTTTTTTTTTTAATTTTTTTTTTTTTAAGAGGCATGTATTATTTATTTATTTGTTTGTTTTGTTTGTTTTTATACATGCACTGGGTACAGTCAGAAGCGCGGGAGGGTGAGAGAATTCACCAGAGCCAGAGCGGGGAGCAGAGCAGGCAGAAGGACCGAAGTACACTGCTGAGGGGAGCAGCGGGCGGCAGGAGAGGTCTGCGTGCCATGTGGGACCCTCCTCCGGTGGCTGGGGAGCAGCCGGGGATCGAACCGGCGCCACAGAGGCCGCGGGCAGCTTCGCAACCCAGCGCTCAACCGCTGCGCCACCAGGGAGGCCCAGGATCTGACTTTTTGAGTGATAAGTGAAGGGTCCTACTGATGCAACTTGAAAATGCAGGGGATCCAATTTCTGTGACATGACCCTTAATCACTGGTAAATGAAAGTTTGATGGAACTGAGAAAATAAATTCTCCTTTCTTTTCTTGTGGACTTTTTTGAGATGGCTAAGTTTTGCAAGCTTTACTGAGACGTCCTAGGTGCTAGGCAGCTCTGTCTTTTGTGCTTTCAGCTGAGTTATGTGGCTTGTTGCAGGGAGGTTGTCTGCAAGGTGATGTCACCTCTGTCCTTGCCTCCCTTCTCATTTATTCCCTCCCACATATTACTCTGGGCTTACAGTTCCAGAATGAGGCATCAACACCTAACCCTTGTCTCAGTCTCTGCTTTGTATAGTAGTATAGTACCTGAGTTTAGATAGATCTTATGTACTCCTGGGGTCTTTCCCTGTCCCTACCACCACTCACTGGTGAGGAACAGACTTCACCCTGCTGACTGCAGCTTGACTTATGAAGTTGTAGTCAATATGCTCAACATGATTTTTTTTAAGATTTATTTTTATTTATTTATGCGTACAAGAACTGGGGTGTAGGCCAGAGGTGCGGGGGGTGAGAAGATTCACCAGAGACAGAGTGGGAAGTGGACCAGGCGGATCTACTGAAATACAATGATTAAGGGAGCAGCGGGCAAGACAGGAGAGGTCTGCTGCACCAAGTGGGTTAGCCCACTGGCTGGGGATTGAACTCATGCAGCAGTGGCCAGTGATAGCTTAACCCCTGTGCCACCAGGGAGGCCCCCCTGCTCAGCATCTTTGAGCTGAGTTGAGCTAGAGATATATATGCTTCTCTCTTCTGCACTTGGTCATCCATGCAGAGGAGTGAGGACTCCAAAAGTTCCAAAGCTAAAGGAATCTGAGCTAAAAACCGGAGAGGTGTGTTGCTGAGTGTGGGCCAGAGGTGTGTTGCTGAGTGTGGGCTAAAGGTGATTTTAATCTGGGGGAGGGCCAATTTTGGGAGGCACTGAGTCCTGAATAAAATGAGTAGTCATTTCTCTTGGCAGCTTATGAAGCATGGCATATGGGAGTATGGTTTATGGGGCAGAAGCCACAGCTTTGAATCTTGACTATCAGCCAGGAGGCAGGGTTGCCTGGCTAGTCTTACTCTTACAACATCTTTGCCATTCAGTTCTCTAAATTGCTTTCTTTTTCATTTATCATATGCTCCTTTCTTTGTCTAACTTAACTTGGGAGGGGAGGAGGGAGTAGGCAATCAGATAAGTGGTCTCTAGAAGAGTTACACTCAGAATCCTGTCCTAGCCCTCAGCCCCCTCCTAAGGTTTGGAGGAGATACCCTGATTAAACCCTCCTCAGTCAACATGCAGCTCTAACTTGCATATTGAGATGTTCTGCCCCACTGCTTGGTATGTTGGTCCTGGGTGCAGGTGGATAATGTGGGCAAGGCATTAAGTACAAGTCACTTATGCCAGCATCACCCCACCATGCTCATGGCAAACATTGCCAATCAACCATAGCATTCTTTCCCACTGAGCTGGGAGTTGCTTTTAAAATCCTTCTCACTACCCTTCCACAAGCATCATCTACCAAAGGTCTGGATGTGGGATTTGGGATGGAACCCTTTGTTACGGCCCTAGGCCTTGCCCTAGGAGACTTTCAGACTGAGTCCTTGGAATCCAGACAAGGTCCAGGTGTGGATAGTGCCTCTGGAAGTTCTCAGGATGCAGCTCCAGCATCTGCTCTCAGGGTCATTTCTCTGGAAATGAGGGTGTACCTTATGCACTTTCCTTCAGGTGTCCAGTCACATTCATCAGAGATGTGCTTGGCTAGTTTAGGTGTATAATACTGGCAAGAAGAGAGAGATTATTGGGGCATGTATGATTGGACACATGCCCTTGACCTAGCGATGTAAAGAAACACCTACTTGTATTTAAGTCCATGGATTGCTCTAGTAACCACACATCTTACACACCATGTTTCATTAATTCATTGTCTCCCCTCCAAAGTGCCAAGAGTCATTACTGAGAAGAGAGTTCTTAAGGAGACTGCTAGTTATATTTTGAAGTCCCACAATGATAATAAGGTGATATTTATTGAGAACTTACTGTGAGCCAGAGGTGACTTAGCCAAGTGACTCAGGGCAAGGGCTCTGGTGACTAGGTTCAAGTTTAGGCTTTAGGCCTTATTTGGGCAGATTCCCTACCTTGCCTTTGCTTTTAGTTTACTGTTCTGTAAAGAGGAGCAATTAAATTACCTACCTTACAGGATTGTGGTGAAGACTAAATTGGTTAACATGAAAGACTCAGAACAAGACTATATATATTATATTAGTATATTACAAATATTCTGTCAGTAACAATAACATTATTATTATTATTATTACTACTATTATTACCACCATCTCCATGTAATTTTCACTTAATCTTCATTAACACTCAGCCAAAATACTCACTTTAAAGATGAAGAAACTGAGCCTCAGAGAAGTGAGAAATTGTTCTTCCATTATACCATGTTGCTTTCTAACAAATATGTGATGCTTTTTAATCAGATTGAAATATAGTATATTGGGGCCCTGGTGGCACAGGGGTTAAGATGCAACCTATGAGGCTGTCCACAGCCACTGCAACATGGGTTCGATCCCTGGCCAGGGAGGTGACCCGCATGGTGCAGCAGACCTCTCCTGTCTCACCTGCTGCTCCTCTCAGCAGTGTATTTCGGTTCATGTGCCTGTTCTGTTCCCTACTCTGTCTTTGGTGAATCCTCTCACCCTCCACACTTCTGGCCTGTGCCCCAGCTCTTGTATGCATGAATAAATAAATCTTTAAAAAAAAAGAAATATAGTATATTGTATACAAATGATTTTGGCTATAAGAAACAGAAAGTTTCAGTGGCTGGGACCATCGATAAAGTTATTATTTATTTGACAAGTCCAGTGATTGGTCAGCAGCTCAGTAAATGTCATCAAGGATGCAGGCTGTATATTCCATTAAACCCTCCTTAGCTGCTGGCTTTCTGTGCATATGCTTATTGCCTAATGGCCACAAGATGGCTGCTGTGATCCCATGCATCACATCAGTGTTCAAGTCAGAAACAGGGGGGAAAGGATGGGATGAGGCAATTGTTACCACTGTCAGTTAAAAAAAAAAAAAACCCAACTTTCTCAGAAGCCCCCTAACAGACTTCCCTTACATCTTTTGCCAAAACTGAGTTTCATGGTCACTGTGGCTTTCAGCTTTTAGAGTAGGCCCCAAACTTTAAGGGAGATGCAGGTGGTTGTTGAACTAGTCAGCCAACAGTGTTGGAGACTGAGTTGTGTATTTCTTGCAGAACAAAGAATAACAGCGGTGGCTAAAATCTAATCATGTGCTTTTTCTCTTGGGCAGATGCATGTCTATTCTTTAGGAATGACCCTCTACTGGTCAGCAGGGTTCCATGTTCCACCCACTCAGGTCTGTAAACAAGATCCTCAAAGTCTTGCATTTACATTTATTTAGTGATTTTATCCAGGGTAGGGGTCACATTCATTGAGCTGTGTGTCACCACTTTGTCCTGTTAGATTCTGGGATGACTTTGCCAACTGGCTACAAAACTGCTTCTGCTAAGTCCAGAAACAATCTCAGAATCCCACCCAACAGTTGCACTCCAGGAAGCTGCAATCTGGAATTGGAAAGCAGGATCAGACTTATTTGTCACTCCTACTCAGAGGAAGTAGCAACCTAGAGGATTTTATAGACATTGAAGATACAGATTTGCAAAATAAGCTTTAAAGTACCCTTCATGAAGTAAGATGTTTTCCTGCAAAAGGGTTTTGTGCTCAATAGATTAAAATGCTTCCTAAATCTCCCTCTTGAAGATTTCCCAAGGTGGTTTACTAAAAACTCAAGAAGGTTTAAAATAAATGTTTTACCTCTATTATAGCATGCTATACAAATTTTGAATACAGAATATGTGTATTTGTAAATTTTCATCTGACACTGAATTCCTTAGAATTAAGAGCACATTGGAGAACCCCTTCCCCTCTCTCCCCCACCCCTATCCCTTCTTTCCTTACCACTCACCTTTGTTCTCTCCAATCCCACTTCCCCATGCTCCTGAGTGCTCTTTTTATTTTTTTAAATTATTTTATTTTATATAATTCTTATATCATTTTTCATTTTTGCACAATGTATGACTGCTCTTTTTTAAAATAGAGTCCTACTCATGTCCCTCCCACTGTGAGACCTTTCGCAGCTCCCATGGGGCTGCATTCTACTTCATAGCGGGCATACCTGGAGCCAGAGTTGGGTTCCTATCTGTAGCCGTGGTACCTTGCTGGTATTCTGCTGTTTCAGGCCAGTTAAATGGGCATGTGTTCTGTATAATAGCACAGGGCCCTGTGCTCATCCTATGCCTGATTTAATGCTCTGCTGTCACTGTCTATACATTAATGATTTTGAACAAGGAATCTACCATACATTGTTATTTTGCCCTGCACCCTGGCCCTGCTTATAACCACCTTCTTTTTAGACATATGGACACCTTTGCTGAAGCTACACTCTCTGCCTGCATCTCACTCTCCCATATTTCTGGCTAACCCAAGGGTGCTTTTTGGGATTTAGCCCCATTTACTTTCCCTACCTCCCTCTCCCTCTTCAGGCTGGGTTCGACACTTTTCTTCATGTCATTAGCTTGTCTTGTGTTTCCAGAGACCACAGGTATATCATTCTGGGCCCTTGTCTCTTGAGGTGACTGTCCTCAAGATTGTGAATGTATGGGGGGCTAGGACTTTCTCCCACTTTCCATCTCCATAGAGGTGCCGTCCAGGAGCATAGCAGGTACTCTGATTTGATCAGCAGCCTGGTGACACTTGAAGTGAGGGATTCTCAACTGATACTCCATGTAAAAATGGTAGTGCATCTTTATCTGGAAATTGATTTGCAGCTTGGATCATCCGTGAGAAAAGGCCTTATTTTGTGTCTGAATTTGAGGCCTTCCCCATATAAGCAGTGGCCATTTACATGCATTGGGAAGTGCTTAATAAAAGATCATTTTTTTGTTTTGCTTGGCATGGGCCCATAACAAACATTTCAAGCCGTTGTTGAGCACTGTGCTGACCACTGTCATTCCAACATGGAAAGAGCACAGCCAGGGGAAAGACCCAAAGAAACCCATCTAAATAATTTGCAAAAATGACAGGCTACCCAGGTGAATGCAAGTTGAAGGCCAATCTCTTCAACTGGGTGCCAGGTGAGTGGAAATCCGTTCTGTCAAGCACCCATTTTTCCTAAGTACTCCAAGCACGTTTCGTCTCTCCTTGCACGAAAGTGCATTCCAGATCAGAAAACAGCAAATCATACACAGCTGGTGCCAAGATCACTGGTTTGCATCTTGTAGCCACAGTGATATATTTTGTATCCATCCTTGAGCTCCCAGGAGGAGCAGGCATCTGTCTGGCACTAATAAGGACTCATTCCTGCTAGTTCCCGCTGCACAGCTGAGAAGGTGCTGGGCTGGGTGGCAGTGGTTCTCCAGATTTCACACCCAGCCTCTCTGCTCTGCAGCCTCTGCAGCTCCGAGAGCCCTTGCACACTGTGCTGCTGAACATGTGTGAAGACCAGCCTCACAGGCGGCTGCCACTGCTGTCAGTACTGGAAGCTTGTCGGGTTCATCGGGAAGAAGTGGCTATATATCCAGCCTCTGCCAACCTCCATGTCAGACATCTGGTCGGCTTGGTTCTGGGCACCATCTCTGAGGTCAGTATAGATCTGAACTATCTAATCTGGGAGCCAGGCTTGATTGTTAAAATTTAATTAGCAAAATTTACTTCATTAAAGTGAAATAAAATAAAAAAATTCCATTCCTCAGTTATACCTACCTCATTTCAAGTAGCTGATGATCACTGTATTAGACAGGGCAGTTCTAGAACATTCCCATCATCACTTTTCTATTCAGTAGTCCTGGCAAAAACCTTGGAGCAAACCCAGATTATTTTTTTAAAGATTTATTTATTTATTTATGCATATAAGAACTGGGGTATATATCTGAGGTGCAGGGGCGGGGGTTGGTGGTGGTAAGAGGATTCACCAGAGCCAGAGTGGGGAACAAAACAGACTGACTGAAATACACTGCTGAGGGGAGCAGCAGGTGGGACAGGAGAGATCTGCTGTGCCATGTGGGTAGCTTGTGCTTAACCCCTTGCACCACCAAGAAGGCCCCACACCCACATTCTTAATGTGGCTAAGATCCTGGGGATCTTTGAAAGGGTCTTTTTAACATAAAAACAGTCATGTTTATAATCCAGGATTCAGTCCACCTGGGCCTCTCATAAGAAACTTCCCCTGCTGCACTTATGTGGTCCCTGGTCTCCCTTCCCTCAGCTATTTTGTACCTGCAGGGGGTCTTGTTGTGCTTGTCACACTGCTGCTTGTCACACTGCTGCTCCCATCACCTAGCATGAGGCCTGGCACACAGCAGGGATTCTTAAATGTTATTTATTAGGGACATGCTCCCAGGGGAGGCGGACTGGTGGAAGGAGGACTGGATGGGGGACAAACCAAGAAGGAGGTGTTCTCAACTGGAGGCAGCCTCAGCCTGATCCCCCAGGGAGCTCCAGACCAGGGGTTGTAGCATGGTTAGTCCCCTCCCTGCTGCATTTGATGCCAGAGCAGGGCTGGGGCTAGGGTGAGGCAAGTGAGGTACATGGTCTCTGAAAGGAGGTTCGTGGTTTAGAGGAATCAGCAAGAGCAACTGGAGACAGGCTGGGTGGCTGCTGCACTTGTCTAGGGGACACGTTGGAGAACTGAGACCAAGACCAGTGCAGAAGTCATGTGGATGGAGAGGAGGGACTGTCGGAGGGGATGCTGCTAACAATCAGAATGTGCCTCTCCCCTCCTGTCCTCCTTGGATCCTTCTCTTTTAGTGTATGAACTTGTTACTTCTTTTTTTTTTTTTTAAAGATTTATTTATTTATGCATACAAGACTGGAGGTACAGGCCAGAGGTGCAGGCGGTGAGAGGATCCACCAGAGACAGAGTGGGGATTGGAACAGGCAGATTGACTGAAATACACTGCTGAGGGGCGCAGCTGGCGAGTCAGGAAAGGTCTGCTGTACCATGTGGGTTGCTCCCTGGCCAGGGATTGAACTTGTGCTGTGGTGGCTGTGGTTAGCTTTATAGGTTGTGTCTTAACCCCTTGTGCCACCAGGGAGGCCCTGAACTTGTTACTTCTATTAAGTCAGGGGATTTGGTGGGGTTTTATCTGAAAGACAGGAGAGCTTATCATCCATTGGTCCCCTGGTGGACATGACAATGATCTACAGCATTTTCCTCAGGGATCCATGACATGAATTTTGATCACTTATTTGAAATTCATGGGAGAACTGAATTAGGTGACACACTGTATTATAGGGAGATATGAGCAAAGTGATAAAGGAAGGTAAAGAGGGCACAGAGATGGAGAGGATTGGAAGTAGGGAGGACATAACTCTGGGTCTTGGAAGCACAAAGGAGTAAAACATGGAGACCTTAATCAGTGGAAAGAGTGCATGAATAAATATATAGGGTGCATGAGTACACAGGTGTAGGGTGCAGGGGAGTGAATACCTTTAGGGTGTGTGGGGGTGCTGGGTACAATATGTATTCTGGTTGCTAGAGAAGGCATCGTGAGGCTCTCACTGTAGGGCAGACACTTCCACAATGACTTAAACTGATGCCCCCCTTCTTGCAATGCCAATGTATAATGCACTTGACCTTCAGGTGGAGAGGGCTGTTATGGAAGAGCGCTCCCCTGTGCATCAGGACAGAAGTCACCTGCTCAGGAATAGGCTGCACGAGGCGAGCTGTAAGAGCCCAGCTCTATGGGCCCTGATGGGTCTGCATCCCTGGGGAGGTGAGTGCGGCACCCTGAGGATCCCCTTCATGGGTACCCTTTCTACTGATTCCTGTCCGTGTGGCCAGATGCTGCCCTGGCAAAGAAAGCCTATACAAGTGCCACTCTTACAGGAAACCCTTGAAGAGAGGAGGCTAAGCTTAGGATTCATCTGTGTAAAAGAAAGCTTCATTTGGAGATAAATTTAACATTTATTTATGTCAGACCTAAACCCCTTTATATAAAGTTCTAACTGTCCAAGTTGATAAGACAAATTAAAATAAGGAACATGAAAGAAAAATGTTCCTTTAATTAGTTTCTAGGTGGAGTGAAAGGAAAAGCAATTAGTAATAGATGCTTTCATTGTTTTAGGTGTGTTAAAGGAATGAATTTTGGAATAATCTTCAAATTTTGTACTCTTCTTGACTTTTCTACTAAATCTGAGTTTTTATTTTTAATTGGTGTTTTCTGTCTGTTGTCCCTAAAGCTAAGTACTCTTTGCCCTTTGGGTTTGTATTTCCCCGTCATACTTCCCTGAACCATCTATAACTGTCATTTTCCACATGAGGAAACAGACTCAGTTAAGAACTTTTGCCAAGGTCATGCAGCTAGTATGTGATGATGTAGATCATGCTAGGCTGCCTAATACAAAAAAATCATGCTCTTAGCTTCTGCATATGCCTTTACCATGCTGTTTGGCTAATTTCAGAGAGAAGCACAAAGACCCAGAGCTCCTTGGAGCCATGCCCCAGCACCTCAGCACATGGTCCCTGCAGCCTCTCTGTTAGCAGGTAAGCAGCAAGGTGTACAGGAATGTGACCTTGGTGTAGGATTTAATTGTGGGAGCTGCTATATCCTCCTTCTTTACTGAGTACTGTTGAGAAGCTCTTGCTTTTCAAAAACAACAACAACAAAAACAGATCCTATTCCAAGGGGAGGAGAAACCACACTTAGGCAGATGGGAAACTAAGGTGATGAGAGGCTTGATGGCACTGTGTTGTCAGGGCATTCTGTCTCCTCTGGGAATGAAGTTCAGACTCGGTTATGGATCAACAACACACTTGCATGTTGTCATGATTTTCTATAGCATAACAAACAACCTAAAACACAGTGGCCAAAATCAGTCATTTTATTTACTTCTTGAGTCAGAGTTGGGAACCTCAGCTGGGAGGTTCTTCTAGACTCTCCTGGATGCCCTGTGCACCTGTGTGCTACTGCAGGTTGGCTAGGCAGCATTGCTTCTAGAACAGGGTAGAGGGATGTTACCTGGGGGCATGACTCTTCAACCATAGGCTAGCCCAGCATTGTTCTGATAGACTTTATTTTTTTCCCCATTTTTAATTATTATTATGTTTTAAATTTTATATATTTTTACATCATTTTTCATTTTTGCACAATGTATGCATTTTCATCTTAGTTATAGTCCCCATACAATTCCCACCCTACCCTTGTTTTGAACCTAAATAAGGGACCAGGAAAAAGACTAACTATAATAAAGTAAAAATCAAAATCAACAAGCAACTGTAAACCAGAGACACACTACAGGGGGGGAGGTCAGAGGGACCAGGATTGTTCTTATCACAGTGACAGAGTTGAGAGGGAGGGAAGAGGAAGAGAAGGGGGAGGGGTGCACAGAACCTCCCAAACCTGTCCTCCACCACTTCTGTTTCATCCCGTTGGCCAAATCAAGTTTCACGTCCAGCCCAGATTCAAGGGGTGGGAAATAGACTCCTCTTCTTAATGGTGTTTGGGACAAAGTAAGCCTGAAAAGGACATGAATCAGGGAGAAGAATTGTGACTACTATTGCAGTTTAACATTGATGTTTAAATTTGCTCAAAATTCACATGGGCTTAAATCATCCTGATCTTGGAACACTGGACATTTTGAAGCTTAGGTATTTATTTACCTATTGATTTGTAGCGGGCTGTGACAGTGTGTTGTCCCTACACAGTTTATCTAAGGGCTGTGGTGTCAAATACACAGTGGAGGCTTTGACTAGATGTTGTAGGGCTTACTTCACAATGATTTTTCCTGCCATTAAACTCTGTTTTTGGGCCTCCTTGGTGGCACAGGGTTAAGACACAACCTTTGAGACTGTCTGCAGCCACTGCAGCATGAGTTCGATCCTGGCCAGGGAGCTGCCCACATGGTGCAGCAGACCTCTCCTGACTCGCCCGCTGCTCCCCTCAGCAGTGTATTTCAGTCAATCCGCCTGTTCTGTTCCCCACTCTGTCTCTGGTGAATCCTCTCACCACCCCCCGCACCTCTGGCCTGTACCCCAGTTCTTGTATGCATACATAAATAAATCTTAAAAAAAAAAAAGAAAAATTGTTTGGAAAAAAAAAACTTTTCCCAGTGAAAGTTGTTTTATTGTTTCTTCGTGATTCCATGAACAATCTATGTTTATTAGCAGCACATTTTGAAAAATATATAAAATCCTAAGGGAGAAAGTCAGAACCCTCTGTGACCCTCTTGCCTACTCCAGGATATTCAGGACTTGGGATCACGGGACCTACCTGTCCTGAGCACAGTGCACAGAGACAGGGTTGTGGGGTAGGAAAGAAACAGGCTGGGCATTTCGAAAGTGAATGTGATAATACCCCATAAAAGGTGGAGTGTACCTGGTGGGCTTTCACTAGTTGGAAGCCATTTCTCCTGTTAACTGCTCCTCCCTTCCTCTGACTGCCGACCAGTGCTCTTCCAGTTGAAGTTCCCCAGGACCTGCAGGAAGGCCAGCTGCTCGGCTCTGGATCTGGATCTGCTCTCTCTCTGGCAGTAGAAAACTCTCTGTCTGCAACTCCATTTCAAAGGAACTTTCTGCAAAGAAAGGGAAAGGTGAGCAAAAGAGACCTGAAAGATAGTCCCTAAAGAGGTTTGAACCGGGAGTTGTGGATGGCTGACACAGCAAATGAAATGGGTATCTTATTCAGGGTGGGTTAGGGGGCAGAGGGGTGGCTGGGCTGAGCTTTATAAAATTGGACTAAAATCAACCTGAAATGTACAATTGAAGGTGGGCTGTTCATTGAGTGACCTTGCTGTTGTAGACACTGTGTAGACTTGAAGATAGTTGAAGATGGGAGGTCTTACCTTTCAGGAAGCTGACAGCTATTGGAGTGGGTGATGAAAGCAAAGTGTGTGATAAGAGAGCTGACAAAGGTTGAATGTGCCTGGGAGGAGCCTTTTGAACTGACAAAATGTAGGCAAAAGGTATGGGAGATAGGATAGTCATAGATTCTCCCTCTTGGTTGGTAAATAGGATGATAGGGTTTAGATGAATGTGAGGAGGTGAGGTTCAAGAGTAGCCAAATCAGTCTGTCCTGGCTTTGAAGTCCAGCCTGGAAGCCAGGATGGATGTCCCTGTCCTCTCCAGTATGCCTTCAGGACACTTGACTTCTTAAAAGCTGGCTGGTCTCTATTGGGGACCAACTTGATAATCCTGGGTTAAAAGGTGAGATCAGGGTGGTCCCAGAATGCATATTCTGTCAGCAGCAGCCTGGCACCAGCTGTTATAGACACTTCTGGTGTTTAGGAAAAAAAATCATCCTTTCCTCAAACCCATCATACTGCCATTAGCTGAAAAACTACTTAATAGTCACATAATCTCATGGTAACTGTGAGGGATTGACATCCCCCTAGAGCTGTGAAAAGCCCCCTTCTGGGCAGGCTGTTCACTGAAGGAGACTGCCTCTCTAGGTCTACTGTTTGAGCATTCAGAACCTTCAGGTGCAGACCCAGATGTGCCCAAAGATCCTCGTCTGTTACAGAGAGATTTGCTTTAAACTCCTCCACAAATGAACATAAGCTGAGCCTGGAGTAGTCTCAGAACATCCTCCCATATGGTCCTGGATTCTCACACTCCTATCCATGCTTTCTCTCCTAGGCCACTCTCACACCCTCAGGGACCTGGGGGGATGGAGGGAAATTCTGGAAATCCGGTTCACCTTCTTTGTCATTCCTTCCTGATCACTCACTAAAGACACTAAGGGACTCACTTAGGATACAAATTATCCCCTGGCTTGGATTTTGGCTTCTTAAAAAGGGAGATTTCCTGGGTACCTTGGGGACATAGTGGAACGCCCCCCAGTCATATCACTCATTGATGTTGGATTTGGGCAAGTTTCTTAACTTCTTAGGGCCTTAATTTCCTGCAAATTTGTTGAGACTATGTACCCCGTGGGAGGATGACTGCTTTCTAAATAATCATGGGCATTAAAATATTTCCTGGGTCACAAGTATAAACAAGAAGTATTCAGTGGAGAGCGGCTGTCCATATCTGTCATTGATTCAACATTCAGAGCTAAAAACATGTTTCATTGAGTCTGAACCCAAAGGTTTTTTTTTTTTCAAAATACCTTTTTGCATATTATATATATATTCGTAGTATATAATGTGCTTTTTAATTTTCATAGATATAAAATATTACATAATGGCACATGAGTTATGAAATGTACAGTGAAGCAGACACCCAAATTAAGAGTTAGACCATCATTAAACCACTATACCACCTGTGAAACTTTTGCTTCCGATTCCAGCCTACCTGGGGCTGCGGCCAGTGGAGCTCCGTTTCACTTAAAGCTGTTTCCTGCAAGCTCTGAGGAACAGAATGCTGTTGGAGGGGTGGGGGAGCTGGTGAATCCACAGAGGAAGCCCAGTCTGAAAGCAGGGGTCCAGCCCCATGGAAATGCCTTCTCTACTGTGAGTGACTGAGTATTTTCTCCAGTTCTCTAGACCAGAGTTTGTCCTGCTGGCAGGAGAGGCCCCAGTGACTTTGCATCTGCCTGGATCAATTGTGGTAACTGCTGGGTTAGACTAGGAAAGGGTGGAGGGTGTCAAGGGGACTATCCAGAGGGCAGGCCAGGAGGCTGACAGCTTTGCCGGGTTCTCCAGCTGGGAGGGCCTTGGGGTGCTCATTCTTTCCTCCAGACTCCTGCCAGAGTCCTCCACCAAGTCATCGTCCTACCTCAGCCCTGCAGCACTTCATCTTCCTCTTTAAGAGGTCCTCTGTGATCCCTGGATAAGCCCTACTTATTCTTTATATCAGGTTCAGTTCAGCCTCATCTCCTTATTCAGTCAGGAAATATTGTATAGGTACAGAGCAGGTGCTAGACACTGTTCCCGAACCCTGACCTATAATGAGAACAAAACAGTCTTTTTCACATGAGCATATGTTCTGGTGCTTATGTATTTGCCCATTTTGAGGGGCAGGAAAAAAATCAACTTCTCTTGGCTCTAATGCCCCAGCCCAGAAAGGGCATGGAACCCCAGCTTCTCAGTAGAGGCACTCAGTGCATGAGTAGGGGGGGCATGAGGGGAGACTTCTCCCTAACAATGCCACAGAAGGAGCTGAGGTACTTCTGGCTCAGAGAGGGAACAGCCACTGTCATGCTCTGCTCTGAGGTGTCTTGGGGTGTGGGGTGTGCCTGACTGAAACAGACCCTGAGCCATCCCTGATTAGAGGGGAGTGATGGTACACTGTGAGCCAGAAGCCACCCTGGGTGGGGATGGCAGAGGTAGCAGCATAGGGAGGTAGGGTGGAGGGAAAGGCCAGGTGGGGTCTGGGGCAGCAGGGAGGAACTTGAATGGGGGAACTTCCCCTTCTATGTGGGAAAGGTGGAAAAGAACATTCTAGGTTGTGGGCAGTATGTGCAGGGTCACAGACAGACAAGTCTGTGTGTGGTGAATGAATCTAGAATTAATTTGAGTAGGGTGAAGAGACAGAAAGCAGACTGTTCCTCATCTCTGGGTGTGTCTCTGCTGAACAATTTCTTCATTCCAAGAAATCCCATAGATCTAGCCCTCTCTCTCGTCACTGGATCTGCACTGCCCATACTCTCTCTGCCGTGCTCTGCAAGACCTCAGGGAACAGTATCAGGTGTCCTGTATCCCCAGGAGTGTATGGTTCATTGGTGAGGTCACTGGGTAGCCCTGTTGGGAAGCTGCCCAGATTTCTGCAGGGAGGGACATCTGTTGGAAAGGCTGTTGCTCAGCCTTTCCATTCTCAGCAGAGCCTGGCAGAGAGTGCCAATTTGAGTCCAGTTCTGCCTCTTAGTAACTGCAACTGTGGGCAAATGCCTTACTGACTCTCTGCCTCATTTCTCATCTGCTGAATAGGAATCATAAACACACTCAGCTCTGAAGGTTGTTTGTCATTAAATGAGACATTGCGCTTAGATAATGTGCTTAGCACAGTAGTTAGCCCATGGCAAAGAAACATGTTTCATAGTTACTGTCATAATTGATACTGTTATTGTTGTTTTCAGACCAAAATTAGGAAATCCTATTTGGCTCTCAGGAACCTCTATGTGGTTCTGCTGAATGGGCAGTGTCTGGAGGTGAAATGTGACATCACATCGACAGTAGGAGCAGTCTTCAATGCCATCATGTCTGTCGCCAACCTTGGGGAACCCACCTACTTTGGACTGGCTTACATGAAAGGCAAGTGTCTCCTGGGTAACCCACAGCTGGTCTGGTGCCTCAGGTAACTTAGGTATCTGGGTAGCTGAATGTTATTCCTTCTATAAAACAAACTACTTGAGACGGGACTCCTCACCTTGTACTCTCGGACATTGACTGCTTGGTGAAGGCTGCAAATGCTCATGTGTTAAGTGCAGGTAAGTACAGAAGCTGTAATGAATAGTGCATGTGAGATGTTGTAGGTTACTGTGTTGTGGCAGGTCAGTTTGATCAATCTCAATACATTGGAGTTACATAAATAAATATTGAAACATTTCCATCTAGGTGGAAATATAAAGTGGTATCACCACTATTGAACACATTAAGGCAGTTCTTCAAAAACTAAAATTAGATTTATCGGATGATCCAGCAATTCCACTTTTGCATTCATACCCAAATAATTAAAAGCAGTGTGTCAAAGAGATAGTTGTACACCTGTGTTCATAGCAGTATTATCTACAGTAGCTAAAATGTGGGTACAACCCAAGTGTCTCTCAGTAAATGAATGAGTAAATCAAATGTAGTCTACATACATAATGGAATATTACTCAGTCTGAAAATTCTGACACATGCTACTATGTGGATGAACCTTGAGGACTTCGTGCTAAGTGAAATAAACCAGTTGCAAAAACACAAATACTGTATGATTTTCCTTATGTAAGGTACATAAGAATAGTCAAAATCATAGAGACAGAAAGATGCTGGGAACTGGGTAAAGGAAGAATGGGAATTGATGGTCAAAGAGTTATAGAGATACTGTTTTGCAAGATAAAAAGAGTTATGGAGCTGGATGGTAGTAATGGTTATGTAAACCATGGGAACATAATACTCTGAACTGTATACTTAACCATTGTTAAGATGGTCAGTCTTCTTTTATATATATTTGACTACCATAAAAAAAATCCATCTAATCATGTGGGACTAATGGGAAAACACACACCACCCAGGAATCCAGGTTTAGAATCTGTTCTGAATATCACGAAGGAGTTCCTACCATCGCATCTGCCCTTCCTTTGAGGGGCTCAATGACTATTTATGCCTTTGCTGTAGTTGAAGCTCTTTAATCACTGTGAAGAGTGATGGGGGCTTCTCCCCTACTGTCTTCTCCCAGCCAGGTACCTGTCCTGGATCCTTCCCATGTGAACATTCTAGTACTGTTTAACTGGGTTCTCCTGGGTCTCCCATTCAAAAGTAACCAGTCTGGGTTTGGACATAAACCCACTTAAGAAGGCTTTCCAGCCAAGCTGTAATGGGGAGCCAACTGTCTATCTCCTGGGGAGAAGTCACCCTAAGGAAAGGGTGAGTCAGTGTGGATATCAGATTCAGCAGTAAGGGCTAAGTATACAGGGGGCAAAAGTCTGGGCATTGTGTGTTAACTGCTATTGTACTTCTCTGGATACCTCCTTCTCCCTTCCCAGCTACTGTGTGCATCTGATTGAAAAGACTACTTACCTGAGTAAAAGCTCTGCCTTCCAAAACTTGGCATGACTCCAGTGTCCAGGCAGCCTGGTGCAGGGACTCCAGAAGGAGTCACTACGAGTGCCCAGACAGGATGGGGAGGGTAGACAAGCTTTGCCTTGAAGAGAGCAGAAGGGTGGAGGCCCTGCCTTCTGTGGCTGGAGTTCACTTAGCTTCCCTCACAGAGGACTAACTCAGTAGATCCTGCCTTGTTCTCTCTTATTAATTATGAAATCCTGAGTTTGGGCTGCTGGAGTTTTCAAGCTGGCAACATTCAGGTCATCTTAGACTGTTGTTTGGGATGTTATTACAAAATTCTTTGCACTAAGTGACTTAAATGACATTTATTTCTTATAATTCCAGAGGCTGGGAAGGCCAACATCAGAGCTCTAGCATAGTCAAGTTCTTGGTGAGAGTCTTCTTCCTGACTTTTAGGCAGCCACCTTCACACTGTCCTCACATAGCGGAGAGAAAGAGAACGAGCAATTCCTCTTCTTATTAGAGTAATTACCTTAGAGGGGCCCCAAGATAAACCTTATTACTTCCCAAAGTCCCTATCTCCAAATACCATCACATGGGGGAATTTGGGCTTCAATATATAAATTTGAGGAAACATAAATATTTAGCCCATAACACACTCATAACTAGGGGGGACTGGGGATGTTCCAGTTGATACAGAGGGCCAGTCCATAGCAAGAATGGAACAAATACTCATTCTACTTTTTCATTTTGTCTCCGTAAGATGGTAGCTGGAAGGCTGATACTAAATGGTATCTTCTCTAAGATAATAATACATTTTCTCCTTTTGGTGCTGGAATTCTATTCCTTGACCCGTTCCTCTTTGTCTCCTGCTCTTGGACTCACAGACCCAGCAAATGTCCGGTGGTGCCAGGTACCCAAAAGATAGGTGGGCTGTCTTTTGCACATGCCTCCTTTGTACCCCTCTGGACCTGACTCAGGGCTCTGGACCCAAAGGGTAGTGTCTTCCCCACTGCTCTTCTCTCCAAATACTCTCTACTTCCATTTCAGGCCAAGAGTTCTTTTTCTTGGACAACGAAACCAGGTTGGGCAAAATAGCCCCCGAAGGCTGGAGTGAGAAACCCCAGAAGAAGGCCTCCTTGGATACCTTCACACTCTTTCTGAGGATAAAGTTCTTTGTCAGTCACTGTGAGCTGCTCCAGTGAGTGCTGCAAACTTGTTCCTGGGTTCCTTAAGGGATTTAGCAGACTGAGGTTAGAGATGATAGATAGATAGGCAAGTGCTTGTAAACTGTAAATTATATATAAATAACAGGTTATAGTGACTCAACTCTTGTTGATTGGTTTCCAATAAGACAGGAAAGGGGGGAAAATCAGTGTTTGGGGGAAGGCCCTGGTCAAAATGAGAACTTACCCTTTTATTTCAGATATTCGCCAGTCAAGGTCAAAGCTCTCTCTCCCCCGACCCTTAACAGTCCTCTACCCCAGCAGTACAGTGATAAGGATGGGGGAGAGGGCCATGGCTTTGGATCTTGGTCACTGCCTCTTTACTCTTGTGCTTACTAAAGACACCATCTAAGTGGATACCAGTTTTCTCACTTGAATCTTCCTCAGATGGAGTAGCACTCAACTAGAGGCAGGAGATGTGTATGAGGTAGACCAGGCTTGTCTTGCTGACATCTCTCTCTGGGTTCTATTGGCTTGTATTCTGCTTTTTTTCCTTTCCATGCTTTCCAGATTGAGGAAAAAAATCTGCTTTTAGTGTTCTCCCTTCTCCATTATCCAATCGCCCTTATTCCTGCTTGCTCCCCCTAGGCAGAGCCAGACAAGACATCAGTATTACCTACAGCTTCGGAAAGACATCCTGGCAGACATGCTATACTGCAACAATGAGACGCTGCTGCAGCTGGGGGTCCTTGCCTTGCAGGCTGAGTTTGGCAGTTACCCTGAGGAGGTAGGGGTAGAAATCTGGGGCCCTTGGGTGGGGTCACTTAAAAAGCAGTTATGGGTTAGGTGTCCTAATAATGTGGAGACTGTGTCTTTGAAATTGTTATTAGCATCTACCACTGAGATTGGGCTAAATTCCATCCATCCATCCATCCATCCATCCATCCATCCATCCATCCACTCATCCATCCATCCATCCATCCATCCAGCATTCATTGAGTACTCTTTGCTAGGTTCTGAGGCATATAAATATAGATAAGTTAAATTTATACATTGTAATGTAGTTCTAGTCTAAGTCCCCTTCTAAAAATAGTAATGAATTTATTGAGTTATCATTATCATCATCAATAGTAATACCCAACCTTTATTAAGATATTATTCTCCAAAGTGTGAAATTACTTAATTTTCACAGTAACATAGATAGATAGATAGATATTATTATTCATATTTCCTAGAAGAGTGATATGAGACACATGTCTAGAAAATGCCGAAGCTTAAATTTGAACCTACATGTATTTGAATCCAACACTAATGCTGATTCTGCTGGACACACTACCTCTGACATGACAGCTCTAATTTCGTTGCATTTGCATTTGCAGCAGAACTACATGTAGGTTTCATTAATTTTGTTTGCCTGTGATGGTTCCTATGGTGCTCACAAAGTTAGTAGAGGCTACTGGCTACTTAATTTGTAAATTCATCAAAGTAGGGAGGCATGTTGCTAATGTATTTATTTACTTAATTAGAATTCAATATGGAGACACCAGACAGGAAGAGGAAGCATCAGGTGAGCTGTGACAGAAAGCAGGGCAGCTTTGCTCTTAGGTTCATGAAACTTAGGCTCATGTTTAAAGTGAGGGGGAAGGGGCTTGTCAACAAACCTCAATATTACATGGTATACAAATGTGAGTCTTTCTGTGGCTGCATCAGCAGAAGTAGAAAGGGAAAAGCAAGGGAAGTGAAGTTCTCACTGTTTTTCTCCCAGGTGACCTCCCAGTCAGCACACTGGGCTTTATCTTGAAAGGCCTCACTACTGTCATGTGACAGAAGCTGGCTGGCTCTGCAATTTACTCACCTTGTAGAAGAAATGTTCTAAAGAGAACATTGGAGATGGGTGAAGGAGGAATTCACTGTTCATAAGACAAAAATAAAGAAAAGTTTAACCCCCATGTCCTTGGGTCTTTGAATACCTTCCCAGTAGTGTCTGGATGTCAAAACTCAGACCCACCCTTGAAGTCTTAATGTTTTGGGCTGAATTGTGTTCTTTCCAAAATCATATGTAAAAGCTCTAAGCTCCATAACTTCATAATGTGACTGCATTTAGAGACACAGTCTTTAAAAAAGTAGCAGAATCAAAAAGAAGTGATCTGGGTGAGCCATTCTTCCAGAACTGGCCTGTCTTTTCTACCTCCTCTCTGTTCCTTTGACAAGCCTCCAGCCCTGTGACTGTTTAGACTGGAGCACTTTCCTGTCTCCTTAGCCCCCAGCACTGGGGTCTTTTCCTAGGACAGCTCTCTTTTGCTCTTGTGCTACTATACTTGGGGGTCTTGGGAAGAGAAGTGTCCAAACATTTGGAGGATGTAATAAGTCAAGGGTGCCAATAAAATAGGCAACAACTTGCTGTCATCTCTGGTCCAATCCTATGTATGACTTGTACAATGTAGAAGGTTTTGGCAATGTTAGTCTATTCTTAGGAGCAGCCTCCATGGGACAGAGGAGTGGTCCTAAGTTTTGGAGTTAGACAAAATGGGTGCAGACATGGCCTCTTTTAGTTAGCTGTTACATGTTCTCGGATGCATTATCCCTCTGAGCCTCAGCTTTCATCTTCGAAATGAAAACAATAGTATTTCATTATTTCAAAGTGGCTGTAAGGAGGGGAGGTGGTAATGCATGTATGACACCTACATGTAGTGACTGCTGTTTGCAAGTTTCTCTTCTCCCTTGCCTAGAATTAGGAGTGTTTTATTATAAAGCCATACTCATCTTCAGACTGTAAATTCAGACATGTGATGGTTAAATCTGAGACCCTACCTCTAGCGCTTAGTATTGGTGGAAACTGTGGGCCAGGCCCACTGAAGGCAGCTGAAAAGCCTGAATATAAGGGTTCTTATATCAGAACCCTAGCTCAGGCAGAGATCTCCCCTATCACGTTACTTGCCCCAAAGCCTCAGGGCCCATACCTGTCTCTAGACATCCCCATTCTGGTGACCCCTGTACCTGTCAAGCTTCTGACTGACTTTGCCCAGCTCCTGCCTCAGTCTGATCTCATCCCTCACCCCTGCTGGGTCTCTAGGAGATCCTGCCCAGCATCAACTCCTCTGTTCTGGGGACCAGAACAATTCCAAGACTCTCTCTGCTGCCCTCATGTGGCTCTCAAAGGGCGACCATTCCCTTTCTCTATAAATAAATCCAACTGATTACACAAACCCATTCATTTTTGCATCAACTCACTCACTCGGAATTTATGGATGACCTGCTCTGGCTTGGCATCATCTAATCCTTACTTCAACTCTGCAAAGCCAGTGTTACTTCCATCTTCAGTTGAGGGGAAATGTACCTCTGTGAGATTTGGTGAGCTAGTGATTGCAGTTAGGCTTTGCTGTGTTGTGTGCTGGGCACTAGTTGGGTATGAGGGGTGACCTGGAGAGGAGAGACCCTCCCAGAGTTTGTGTTGTTAAGTGGGCAGGAGGAGGAGGAGCCTGGTCCATCCAGGGCACTGCTGGTATTTCACTAGCTCTTGCTAAATCCCTATGAAGCAGGCTGGCACCCCTCCTCCCACCATGAGATCCTTCCAAGAGGAGGGCAGGACAGATGTGCCCTCTTAAGGGACTTATATTTTGTGTGATAAATGGTTCTGGTGTTGGGCAAAAATAATTTAGAAACCACTGTAGTGAAAGATTGGGAGCAACTGAAGAATTCTAAGCAGGGAAGTGACATGATTACATTTGCATTTTAAAAAGGGAGACAAAGACAATTTGGCATAAAAATAAATCTCCTTAATTACATCATTGCAGCCAAACAACTTTCCTCTGGGTGCTTTCTCTTCCAGCCTTTGATCACATGCAGGGGATTTAATACAGTTGTAAACTCTGCCACATTGGGTTTGCATTCAGCTTTCTCACTCAGTGGTGTATATCTTCCCGTGGCCTTCCTAATGGTCATTTGGAATGGCTACATATTGTGCCTTAGCAGGAAGTGCCTTTCCTCACTTGCCCCTTTTCTTAGTGCTGGGCCTCACTTAGAAGTGTCATGTGAGTGGAAACTACTAGTATTTTAGTTTCAGTTGCGTCTGATCCTTCTTTTTTATAAATGACACAGAAATTGGGTTTGTACTGGATATTTTTTTAGTTCCATTTTGACTTCTCTTAGACATATTCCCAGCAATAGGATATTCAGTCAAAGGCACTAAGTCGTAGTTGCATATTTAATAGACATTATTTATTTTAGAGCAGTTTTGGGTTCATAGTAAAATTGAGTGGAATGTATAGAGATTCCCTATATACCTTTTGCCCCATCTGCTGTGGTCAGCTTCCCCCACCATCAACATCCCACTAGTGGAATATTTGCTATAATTCATGAATCTACATTGATGTGTCATAACCCCTGAGCCCATATTTTACAGTAGGTTTGCGCTTGGTGTACATTTTATGGGTTTGGAAAAATTTATAATGGCATGTATCCACTGTTATAGTGTCATCCAGAGTAGTTTCACTGCCCTGAGAGTTCTCTGTACTCTACCAGTTTATGCCTTTCTACCCTGACACCTGGCAACTTCTTCATTTGTCTTCATAGTTTTCTTTTCTATGTCCCTTTTAAGAGGGACAGTGCGCTAGGAGTGCATGTGGATGGACATGCTCAATGAATAAAAAGAAACAATATTCGAGGGCCATGGTTTTGCTGTGCCTTTTGGGACGTGACATGGCATCATGGGTTGTGTGAGGATTTGGTGACTAAATCTTGTGCCTGTCACTTTCCTCTTTTTTCATTTTCTTCCTCTTGGCGGCAGTGATGGTAATGTCGCTTTCAAACAGTTACATTGAGGATCAAGAGCACTCAGTGTTCTGAGGACCACCTGGCATGCAGAAGGGGCCCAAGAACAGGGCCTCCTTTCTTCTCTCCCTTCTACTCCTGTCATGTGTTTTGGCCTGACTTTTGATATAGTAGAAAAAGATATCCCAGTGGGCATTTCCAAGGATCCTCCTTGCCAGGGCCCCTAACTGGGGTCTCAACTGCACATAGGCATCAGAGTCCCATGGAGGGCATCCTGGTGATGCCCCTTTTCTTCTGTGTCTTATTTCCAGCCAGTAGAAAACAGAGCTTATTTTCGAGTTGAAGATTACATCCCAGCAAGTCTGATTGAGAGAATGACTGCCCTTCGGGTGCAAGTCCAGATCTCAGAGATGCACCGTCTCAGTCCTGTGCTCTGGGGAGAAGATGCCGAGCTGGAGTTCTTGAGGGTGAGGCCTCCATACCCTGGGGTGTTGGTGTTTAAGGGAACCTAGTCAGTGACTTCCTCCAGATCATTCTCCAGATATGATTGGACCTAAGAGTGGTACAATCAAGGCACTTGAGGCTCTGGGAAGAAGGAAGTTCCATCACTCAGTGGGGCATGAAGAAGCTTCTGGAAACAGGTGGCATTGGAGATGATCCCAAAAGATGGGTAGGCCTTAGTGGGTTGGGATGGGTATGTCAGGGTCGTTCTTCAACCTTAGAGCTCACAGTCACTTTTCTGTGAACAGGGAGACAACATTTCTCATAGATGACATGTGGGGCAACTGAAGTACAAAATTGGGTCATGAGCTAAAAGCAAAGTTATTGGAAGACCCCATATCAGCTGCCTTTCAGGCTGCTACAGCACAACACAGATGGTATAGTCCATGCATACAGGTGAGGTTGGATCCACCCTCTCTCTAGCCCTACAGCAAAAGCAGTAACACTTCAGTGCCACAGGTTGTGGGCTCACACAGAACCTTCAATGATAGGCTTTGCTCCATCCACAGCTTACATCTACTATGGACCAAGAATGGAGACAGAAAAAGACATCCTTCCTGCCTCCTGAGAAACCCATCTCATGGAGAAGGGAACATGTACCCAGAGGCATGCAGCATTTTATAAGCCTGATGATAATACCAGTGACTTTATGTCAAGATGGGAGAGAGTGGTCACTCTGCCCATGATGGAGCTGGAGAGTTATGGGGAGGAGGTCCCCAGCTTCCCCAGGATACCCAGCTGGACCTTTAGAGCAGTTTCAAAAAGAAGCTCCAGGAATTCTAGGTTGCTGTATACAAGTGTGTCCCAAGATGGGTGGAAATATTCTGCCCTGTTTTCCTGCCTTTGATAGAGATGGCTATTTCAAAGTAGAACTTTTCAAGCAAGTCTGGCCTTTTTTCTTGTTGGTCACTTAACAAAACTCTGCAATGTAGTGTGGGTGTAAACAGCAAGCATTTCAGCTGAGAAAACCTGGCAGAAATGCACTCCAGCCTTCTCGAGTGTTCCCTTTCAAGAGGATAGACCATTGACAAAGGACAAGTGGGGACTTCAAAGCTATCAGCAAACACATGATTGAGAGTGGCCACAGACCCACAGAAGCAGCAGAGAGGCCAAGCATTTAGGCCAGTGGGGTGGATAGCGCCAGCTCATCTCTCCTCAGGCCCTGGCTTGTAGATGGAGCTCAGTGTCCCTCCCTCCACTGGTTGAATGATAAAAATGTCAAAGAAGCCACCATCTCATAAGCAAAAGTTCAGAACAATTTTTTGAAAGTCTTTCATGGAAAACACTGAATAGATTTGATTTCATTTGCATGAGATCTCATCAGTTTCAAGGAATCCTGGGTTTGGCGGTTCCCGTTGGTGGCTCATGGACTTGTTAATGCAGCATATGCCCAGGGTGCAGAGACTAGAACTAGAGAGGACTTTGTGACCCTCCAGAGCACATTGTACCCCTTCTCCTTAGGACAAGTGTTTGTTAAGTGACAACCTTTCCCCCACGTTTATAAAAGTAAACATTTGCTCCTGATTCTGCTCCTGGAGACACTCTGCATGGTGGTCATTTCTATACATTTCTGGCCTCCTCCACTAGGTTATAAGTCTCCAGAAGGTCCTGATTCTCAAAGTCTACCCAGAGCCCAGTTACTCCATAGGCACTGGTTTGTTTAATTATAACTCATCCCAGTTTTTCTCCATATCTGATGGTGCCTGTTGGCTTCCAGTTCACTGATGACTAATTCTGCTAGTTCATCATCTCTCGCTAGAAGGAGACTTGGCAGAAGTCCAGTTTGGGTAACACTGAATGGCATACACTGTCTGGAAGATTCACAACTACATTAGCATATCAATTCCAGAACAACTTGTTTAAGATTAACTCAGTGTTTTCCAAACTTCCTCAATCATGGAATAATTTTTCCACATAACTAGAGATTATTATATATATTTTTTGTTGTTGAACTCATACTGGTTCACCCTGTATTTTGCCCAACTTAGATTTTATAACATACGCATCCTCTAGGTGATTACAAATGCTTTGTAAATGTCATTTATAAAGATTGCCTGGACATTCTTTCTAAGGGGTTATAGCCTTTACAAAATCATTACTTCTGGGAGCTTTTCTCCCCCAAACCAACCCTGCAAGTCAAGATCAATCATTGCTATGAGTAGAGTTTATTTTGATTATTCAGTATATTTTCTTAGGAATATTTTCAGGAGTGGAAGAGCACAGAGACACACATAACATTATTTTATTTTATTTTATTTTTTGCAAATTGAAGATACCCTTGACATTAAGTATAGTCACCTAGATCTCTAGATTTAATGGAAACTTTCAATTTTAGTTGCTAAGAGTAAAGAATCAGAAGCAAACAGACACATGTTTCCATTTCTGGCTCACCAGTGGGAACTTTGACAGAGTACTTAACCCTTCTGTGCCTCTATTTCCTCTTTTGAAAAGAGATAGCTATAGTTATGAAAATGTTAGTTATGAAAATGGTACAATAGAGTAATAACATTCTGAATAAGGTTTTAGAATTCAGAATCTTCTGGGTCATCTCATGATACGTTTCTTTTCTCAACTGTTTCTATCATCTCTTCTGATTGTGTGAAGATGAAATGAATTCATGCAGGGGAAATGTTCAAAATGGTGCTTCACTATGTTGAGAATTTTGTAGATTCATGTACATCGATGCCATCTCCCTCTCATCCAATAAAAAGAAAGCAAAATATTTAAAAGTATAATCAAGTCTAACAAATACATCTTTATTCTAATGAAGCCACTTTAATGCTTACAATTTTTATTTTTAGAAATATCACATTAAATTCTTTTTTAAAAATTATTATTATTATTATTTTATTTATTTATACAAGCACTGGGTACAGTCAGAAGCGCGGGAGGGTGAGAGAGTTCACCAGAGCCAGAGGGGAGAGCAGAGCAGGCAGACTGACAAAGTACACTGCTGAGGGGAGCAGCGGGTAGCAGGAGAGGTCTGTGCGTCATGTGGGACCCTCGCCCGGCGGCCGGGGATCTAACAGGCACTGCAGAGGCTGCGGGCAGCTTCACAACCCAGTGCTCAACTGCTGCCCACCAGGGAGGCCCCCACATTAAATTCTTAGAAAAAAATTTTATCTAATTTTTGGGGAGGTGGCCCTACTTTGTCATACTTTAAGCACTTGTCTAGTCTCGCCGTTGATATTTCAGCACTATTGCTCAAGAAATAACTCTTTCTGTCTGTTGCTGCTGCTATTAATGCTGCTGCTCCTGCTGCTGATGACAGGTCTCCCCAGAGGGAGGTTCAAGGCCCAGAAACTTAATCAAAAGCACATGATAGGCTCTGGAGGCGGCATAACCTATTATTAGGTTATAAGCAACAATTATTTATCAATAGGACAGAGGCGGGCAAAGAGCCTGAAAAAGAGCTTTCAAAAGTCACAATTTGTCCCTGCCCTTGGACCCTACCTGGGGTGAGACAGATTGGACAGGACATGATACTCTCTTTGGAGAGGTTTTCAGATTCTTGGAGCAAGATGTTTCTGCTGTGAGTCCTGGTGCATCAACTTTATGAGGAAGACTAGAGTTTTCCAGGTGAAGGTGAAGATGGCAGAGATGTAACTTCCATTCCAACATAAAAACATTTGTGTGAGGTTTATATTCCATTTTGGCCTGATGCAGTTCCCAGCTCTGATTGACTCCCAGGTCCTGATAAAATACAGTTTCCTAGCATGGTCAACTGAGGATAGAGTTTGGGCAGTGGGAACCCCACCAAGGCACTGCTACCTGGTAAGAAAAGCCAGCGACTAGTCATGTTCATGGCTCCTCTTGGCTTAACAGTGATGCTAGCCACCTGGAAACTTGATCTCTTTGCCTTGGCCTCAGTTTTTCTACCTGTAAAATGAAGGCGTTAGTTACACAGGGTATTACTGCAGTAGACTTTGATAGAAACAGTTGAGAAAGGAAATCAACCATGAGATGACCCAATTAGATTCTGAATTCTAAAACCTCATTTGGAATGTTATTACTCTGTTGTAACCATTTTCATAACTATGTTCCAGGTGCTTTAGATATTCCATAAAGAAAATATTTCTTTGCTTAATAAAATTAAAAAATGCTGTCATATCAGAAGTACAGAGAAATTCTATGTATGGAGATCTGTTTAGTTCATTGTTTTCAAAGCTTGTTTGACAATAAATTTGTCAATCTTATTTTTTTTCCTCAAACATATGTTAAGGCATTTTTCATAGAATGGTTTGAAACCCATTATTTCTGAGTACCTGTCTGTTCTAAATTGGCCTTTTTCTTGCTCCAGGTCACACAGCAGCTCCCAGAATATGGTGTGCTGGTTCACCGAGTTCTCCCAGAGAAGACCAGGCCAGAATGGGAGATAGCCTTGGGGATCTGCGCCAAGGGTGTAATAGTATATGAAACGAAAAATGACAGCAGAATCGCAACCTTATATTTTCAGTGGAGAGAAATTAGGAAGATTTCAACTTATGTAAGCATAGTTGATAAAGGACTCATACTTCATTTTCCTTTGATCTTTTATCCCTTTTAAAGAGCAATGGGTCAGATTTCCTGACCAGTTAAGTTCACAGCCTGTCCACAGACCTGTACGCCTGTGCACAGGTGATATCTTTAGGAAACTGCCAGGAATCTGAGACCCTAGCAGGGCTTTTCTTCCCTATCATTCCTCTGCTGGCCTCCTCATAATTCTGTGGGACAGTTATCAGCTTAAAGGGCTACACTTTCCATCTAGGTTAAGGTTTTCTTAATTTGGAGAATCCACCATGTCAGTGGGAGATGGAAGAAGAAAACCTACCGAAGTTGAAATAAAGTCTACAAGGTTTTAAAACATTTTTCCTTGCATTTAAATTTCCTTTGATATACAGTATGCCACGGCACCTGGCCTGACTCCATGGATTGGTGTGCCAGTGGGCACTGGACACTGTAAACCTTTGATAGCCATTGAAGGTTTATTTATTTATTTTTTATTTTAAAGATTTATTTATTTATGCATACAAGAGCTGGGGTGTAGGCCAAAGGTGTGGGGGCAGTGAGAGGATTCACCAGAGACAGAGTGGGGAGCAGAACAGGAAGATTGACTGAAATACAATGCTGAGGGGAACAGCAGGTGAGACAGGAAAGGTCTGCTGCGCCATGTGGGTCAGCTCCCTGGGCAGGGATCGAACTATTGCTACAGTGGCTGCTGATAGCTTCTAAATGCTGAGACTTAACCTCTTGCGCCACCAGGGAGGCCCCGTCATTGAAGGTTTAAAATTCATTTTTAAAAAAAAACAAAGAAAATCCTAATTAAATGTACAACATTTGAAATCTTATCTGAACACAATTTGTGTGGGTATTAAAGCTTCTTGACTTTGATTACAATAAATTTGGTACTGAAAAACGTGTGTTTTTCCAGAAGTCGAGTAGCTAGCCTACCTGCCTGTCCTGTAGGTCATCCCTGTCTGCATGCCTTTATTTCAGCAATGATTTCATGATGTTCTTCATCTTGTGGCCCATGACAAAAATTAGCTTTTCTTTCTATTTCATTTTCCCTTATGGTTTTGTCACTGGAAAAGGGAGAGCATCTGGGGTTCCTGCAGTCTGATCATACTTTCTTGCAACATAGGTGGATAAGCTGGGAACAAATCAACCACTGTTCCCCTGTCCCACTTGTTAGAAATCAGAGGGCTGGATCAAGGGGCTCTGTTTCCAAGCTGGGAATCTCTTGAGATCATCTGGTCAAGATTAAAAAGAGGACTCCACAGATAGTGGTGAGGACAGGCAAGGAGTCCATATTTATTGATTAGTGAAAGAGTATGAAAAGACCCCTCTGGAGAGATCTCTCTGGGCATGGGAGACTCTCTGAGATGCCAGGGCTAAGGGTCTATGTAAGTTTCTAGGACTGGCAGTTGAGAATAAAGGAATTAAACTTCATTGGCTAAGAAAGCAAGTGAGGGCCTCTCCGGTGGCCCAGCAGTTGAGCGCTGGGTTGCGAGGCTGCCCGCAGCCTCTGCAGCGCTGGTTCGATTCCCAGCTGCTCCCCGGCCACTGGAGGAGGGTCCCACATGGCGCACAGACCTCTCCTGCCCCCCGCTGCTCCCCTCAGCTGTGTACTTCTGTCCTTCTGCCTGCTCTGCTCCCCGCTCTGGCTCTGGTGAATTCTCTCACCCTCCCGCGCTTCTGACTGTGCCCAGTGCTTGTATAAATAAATTAATAAATAAATAAATATTAAAAAAAAAAAAGAAAGAAAGTGAACTTGGCTAAAGTCTATTTATTGTTGCTATTTGTGTACTGATGAGCTGCAGCTCAGTGGTTGTGCAGGGCTTGTGACCATAGCCAAGGTGGACCTATCATGGAAACTGTGTGCCTGCAGCTCCAGTTTGAATTGGTCTGGTCTTAAAGTCTATAGCTCTTTTCTTCAATAGCAGCCAACTTGAGAAACTGTAAAGGGATGGCTCAGGAATGCCAAGGCTGGGGAAAATTAGTAATTACAACAGTGGGCCAAGGACATTTATGGCAGCAGGTGTCTGGGCCTGGAGTCACAGGTGTGTTTAACCTCTTGTTTAGCAGCCATGGGAACAGCAAAGTTTTGCCCTTGAGTCCTGCCCTACCCTTGTCCAGGACACTTCTTTTCTCTGTTTTAAGATATTTCCTACTAATTGAATTGTAGTTTTAAATGATCATTATCTGGCATTCAGTTTCCTGACTAGAACATAATTGGTTTTATTCATTTTCTCGATGTTGCTTTCATCTTGGCTGTTGGAGTTAATATACTGTTAAAGTATGATTTGTGATAGAATTTCATAATAGATTATTGTTTATCTTCAAGGAAAAATGTTTATATCTAAAAGTAAGTAATAATAAGTAAGCATAATTTGAGTACATTAACATTACCTTTATATCAGCAAACTGGCTTTTTCCCCAAATATTTTTGACCATATATAAAGGTGAATGATATTTACATTTGTGAATTTTTCAGAATTTTAATGATTTGAATTGATTTAATTCAATTGAAAGATTATTTAAAGAATTTTAATGATTGAATTAATTCAACACTAATGCATTATTTCCCATGTTGTCTTAATTGTTCAAAATTTTCAATGCAATTTGCTTTAAAATATTTATAAAAATACAGATAACTTAAAGAGTAATTTTGAAAACTAAAATTTTTTGAAGCCTTATAGTTTAACAGTCTCTTTAAGGAAATATTTTCTACTTATAATTTTTATAGCTAATCTGTTTTCCCCTCACCAGGGACAATTTCTTGATTAAAGTTGGAAAGTCATCAGGTTCATAAGACAAATTTAGTAGTATAAAAACCTTGTTGTTAATTAGGATTTCCATGCCCTGATAACTGTCCTCTTCCTCAGCATGAACATCTATTTTTATGAAAAGGTCATTACATGAAGTTGTGTCACCAGCTGCTTGTGACAAACCAGGAATCTTACACAGAAAATGACTTGAACTCTTCATGCTTCTGCAAGCACAAAATGGGGAACTCTGCAAGCAATACAAGACTAAGCTCAGGAAGCTGGTTTCAAAATTGCCTAATTAACAGGGGAAGCCAAAATGCTTCAAACAATTTTAGATCATTGATCTTGCCAGCCTGCAGGGAAATAGTAAAGGAAACAGGAAAATGCCATTTTCAAAGAACATGGTTTGTAGATGCTTTAGCAGCTTGTCTTGACAGAGACATCAAACCAGATTATTCAATCAAGAAAGTGTTTGGTGGAGAATGATAAACCTACCCATGTTAGTAATTGTTCTTGGTTACTAGCAGTGAAGATGGCTAAAGGGAAATGCATCCAGGTAAGGGAGGATACAGGCTTTGTAGGGCAGTCTTTAGCAAAAAGAATGCAAAGTTCCTAATACAAACTATGGTAGGAAAGTGAATGTTCATTGAGAATGAGGCAAGAAACCACCAAAACTATGAATTTTAAAAAGCTGAACAAATACTGCAAAATCGCAGAAGCCCCAAGTAATATTTTTATTAATTAACTCCCTGAAAAACTCTGTAATTTTCTTTTTCTTCTCACATTTTGGTGGCATACACTGTGATTACTTTTCCATATGATGATGCTTTTATAAAATCATTTTCTCTAGAGACTAGAAATATAATATAGAATTCCTTCTACCTGATTGAAGGGTGTTTTTATTATTGATAAGATGCATAAAACATGTGGCTTTTCACAGAGACATACTTACTCTTTGTAGTGCTACTACAAGTTTCTATGCAACAGTCATCAGAAAGGTAGTCAATTCTATTTTGAGTGAAGCCCATCAGAAACAGAAGAATATTATGTGGTGTGTTGATAATGCAGTTTTATGCAATTATAAAATATATTCCTTGTAAGTCAGAATTTCCACTTAATTGGGTGCCACTGAGTACTAACTTGCAGCTTTTTATTTCTGACAATTGAAAAAATTTCCTGCAGTTTGACTCCTGGCTCTGTACTAAATAGACCTTGTTCCCCTTTGGTGCCCATCCCATATACTTCTGGTTCTGCGTATTGTAGAAAACAGTCAATTTTATGTGGCCATTACCTTGTACCTTTGGATGAGTTGGCCTAATAGAAGGAATATTCTGAGATGACTAACAATGAAGTATTGCAGAAAAAAGACAAACAACCACGTAAATAAATTGCACTATATCTACACTAATGTGTCCCCATCTCAACTCTTAGTGGTATCTGCTTCCATACTACCCCACACCACCTGTGGTGAGGAGACTTGGGAACATTTGGAGTGGAACAACAGTTGATTGTGATGAAAGCATCTTACTTTCCACATTTTACAGGAATCCACGGACATGTTGTCAGTCTCTCTCAGGGAATGGACCTGGTATTCTAGCTGCCTTAACTTGTTCTGCAAAGATGTTTCAAACAAAATAAGTTTTCATATTTATGCTGAAAACTCTGAGATTCAAGTTATACATCATCTTATTCATCGAGCAGCTTGCCTATGTGAAAGTTTGCCTGCAGATAGGATTTTTCCCATTAAATGATGTTATCAAAGTGGTGATAAATGGAAAAAAATCCAAACCATGACAATCACGACTGTTTTCATGCGAAGAAATGCAATCATAATTCCACATGTGTAGTGTTTAATACATACAGCATTGGTGTCCAAAAAGAGAGTTTGGCTGAGGGTTTATGAGCAGCCAGAAAGATGGACTCTTTTCAGATTTCTTTTTTTTTCTTTTATATATTTTTTACATCATTTTTCATTTTTGCACAATGTATGCATTTTCATCTTGGTTATAGTCCCCATACAATTCCCACCCACCTTGTTTTGATCCTACTCCTTCCTCCCCGCCCCATAGTATGTCTCTGGTTTATAGTTGCTTGTTGGTTTTGATCTTTACTTTACTATAATAGGTTTTTTCCTGGTCCCTTATTTAGGTTTTCTAAATTCCTGCTATGAGTGAGACTATCTGGTATTTTTCTTTTTCTGGCTTATTTTGCTGAGCATGATCCCTCCCAGCACCATCCATGTTGCTGCAAATTGCATGAGTTTATCTTTTTTGATTGCTAAGTAATATTCCATCGTGTATATGTACCACATCTTCCTGATCCAGTCATCTGTTTTTGGGCATTTGGGTTGTTTCCATAGTTTAGCTATTGTAAATAGTGCTGCTATAAACATAGGAGTGCAGGTGCCCTTTTGAATTAATGTTTCTGTGTCCTTTGGGTAAATACCTAGGAGTGGAATTGCTGGATCATATGGAAGCTCTATCTTTAGTAGGTTGAGGAATCTCCACACAGCTCTCCATAGTGGTTGGGCCAGTTTGCACTCCCACCAACAGTGCAGGAGAGTTCCTCTTTCTCTGAATCCTTGCCAACATTTGTTGTTGCTAGTTTTTTTAATATGTGCCATTCTCACTGGTGTAAGATGGTATCTCATTGTAGTTTTGATTTGCATTTCCCTGATTACAAGTGATGTTGAACATTTTTTCATATGCCTGTTGGCCTTTCGCATTTCCTCTTAGGAGAAGTTTCTTTTTAGCTTTTCTGCCCATTTTTTGACTGGATTATTTACTTTGTTTTTGTTGAGTTTTTTTAAAAATTGACTTACCTAAATATTTTTAATACCTGAGAGAACTTAAAATAATCAAGACTCTATGAAAGCTTATCGATGTGTATTGACAAATTGTAGAGTCCAAGAAAATACTGAATTTTGGAAAAGTATGGATAAGAGGATAAAGTGAAATTTATGCAGCATTATAATTTGAATACTAAGGAAGAATTTTTAAGTCTACCAGAGTAGCACCTATGAATAGTTGAGAAAATATATTGTTTTAAAGAATGCTTAATGTGATATAGTTCAAAATCCATTCACATTAGTGTTAAGATGTTCAACACTACATTTGTCAATAAAAGGAAAGAGTAGAGAATGATCAAATTATTTAAAATTAGGTTAGTGGTTAAAAAAAGCATTTCCTGGATGAAAAGCAATGAACAATTATTTGCCTTTTGTTAATGTCTGACTTGTGTGATTGGAGTTTTTTAGAAATGGTGACTATTATGATTTAAAAAGGATCAGAATTAAAGAGGACCAGGAGTGATAGGGAACCCTTTTAAGCATAAACCCTGTATTAATAGTTATCTTCATGGGAGTAACTTCAAAGTTCTTACTGATATCACTAGAATAGCTAAGATAAAGATTTGATTTTTTTTGAATATAGATAAATTCATATTTCACCTCATCTCTATTACTGTACTAAAATCTATTGTGAATTTTTTCCCATGAAGCTCCATAAATAAAACCCCATGTAGATAATCCTTTTTAGATGATCCCATTGAGTTAGACAAATATCACTTTCTATTGAGGAATATGAGGAAGCATTTCTTGTGATGTGACCTCTATTCCTCTGCATTCTGAGGACTCTTGCTCTATTTTCTCATCTGTAGAATAAGAATAATGATAGGACATCCTCTTTCTATAGCTCTGAGGATTAAGTGAATTAATACCAGAAACCATTTAGAACAGAGACTGGCACATGATAGCAAGAAATATGAAATAAATACAGTGTTTTATCTCTCCTAAAACCTGGCTAGCTGAGATTATGCCTGCAACTTTCTTGAGGCTTGTGCAATGAAAACTATAAGTATATTTAATAGTCTTTCAAAATGCACACTAAGGATTGTGTCACTTTGCTGAAGGTCAGGTGTGCACCTTACCCATTTCATATGTTTTCACCGATCACACTCCTTGGTAGATAGCAATTGCCTGATAAGCATTTGATTTATGAATGAAGGAAAGTATAAAAAGAGGGATTTTCTTTAAGAAAAACTATTGGGCTATCTTCAAATACCTGCTATACATTCTGGATGCCAAGTTCAATGTTATATTGAACTGTGGACTCCAGTATTTGATTGCTCTCAGTACTGCTGTGCTTCAGTGGATGGGTAAAGACAATCAATATATTAAAGCCTGTGTTTGCCCCTTCAGCGAAAGAAGCTCATCATCACAAGCAGCATCACGGGAAAAAAGCACTCATTTGTCACGGATTCTACCAAAACTTGTAAATATTTACTGGGCCTCTGTTCTGCCCAATACCTGTTTAATGCTCAGACAAGCTCTCCCCAAGTTGCAACTGGTGAGTAGACATTATACTCTCAAGCTCTATTTTGGCCAGCTTATGTCATAAAATAGTTTGTATAAATTAATATAGTTGACCCAGAAACTCTAAAAAGTTTTGAATATATCTAATAACTAAAGAAATACATGTAAAATATGTTTTTTTCTTAGATTGTAAATGCTTAAATAACATTGGAGGGTAAATTGACACAGTGCAGTGGGAATATTTATCAAAAGCCTTTTTAAAAAATCCCTGTCCTTTGGCCCTATAATTTTACTTGTGGATAGGTATTTATCCAAAAAAATAAATATAGAAGCACACAAACGTTTATACTCATGGGTATTCACTAGAACATTACTTTAAACAGTGAATATTTGGAAGAAACCTACATATCCAAAAACAGAATCACAGCTCATCTATATAATTTAGACATTAAAATCAGTATTTGGAGAGTGATGACATATGAAAATGCTTGATGTGTTGCTGAGTGAGAAAATGAAGATATGAAACCGTATCTATCCTATCTAGCGCTGTCTGATAGAACTTTCTGTGATGATGGAAATATCTATACTGTTTAATATGGAAGTCACTACTCGGGTGTACCTATTGAGCACTTGAAAGTTTGCAAGACAACTAAAGAATTGAATTTTTAATTTTAACAAATTTATACTTAAATGTGAATGGTTACATATGCCTGCTATGTTGGGTAGCATAGGAATAGGCACCATGATACTAATTTGGTTGATTTTAACATGTTATAAAACAAGAAAGAATATGTATATGAACTGCACCACAATTGATATGGAATTAGCTACTAGCTAATTCCTTTGTGAGTTAAGTATGTAGGCATGACTGTTTTCTCTTCTGTACATTTTAAAGTATTTATCAAACTTTCAACAGTATTATTAATACATGAAGCAAAGAGACTACTAGTTAAAAGTGTGACCACACATCATGTAAGACTAGCTAATATTAATTGTGTATTTAGGAAGTGCTATGAAACTGTTTACTACTGTCAGTGCTTTCTCCAGGTGTTATGCTATCTTTATATAAGTTATCATTTATGCTTATAATGTACTCTTTTCTCAAGCTGCAATTGTCAGGCAGCCCAGTGAGGTGCTTGCAGCATTATTAAGATGAACAAACCGAGGCCTGGGAAGTTAAGTAACCTGGTTTTTGGAAGCCTTGAGATTTGAAACATTGGCTTTCTGAGTCTGGTGTCTGTATACTTCACCCCTACACTATCTGCCAAAACTTAAGGATTGAGTGCTGACTTTGCCATCTTATGCTGTTACTCTCTAAACATTATTTTTCTTTGACTATAAAGGGACTGGTAAATTATATAGTGGTTTCATCATTCACGTTCATAAAGGGCTCTCTGCATGTGTATTACTTGAGAGCTTGAAAGAAATACAGATTCTCAGACCCCACCCCAGACCTACTGAATCTGTGCCTGCATTTGAAAAATAACACAGGTTACTTGGATGCAAATAAGCATTTGAGAACCACTGGTTTGGAATGTGGCCCCTGGAGTTCAGTAGACTCAAGGCCATGCCACTTATTAGTCATGTGACTTTGAGCCACTCATTAGCTTGGTCTCCCTCAGTGTCCTCAGTGGAGAACACTGGCCCCTGGTAATTTGTTCTGTGCTTGCATGTAATGTTTCTGGCTCCTTAATTGATGTTCATTGTTCAGTATGAGTAGTAATGGCTGCCTCTGCTCATGGGGTTTTGTTCTGTATCAGCTGGGAAACAAAATTACCAAGCATTTGGATGCAGAATCAAACACAGAAAATAAAGGTGTCATATTATTGGCAGCCAAACCAAATAAATATATAAATATTTCATTGACATAGCAGAGTGGCAGTTCTAGGATCTTTCCAGGGAGCTGGAGATAATGAATGTAAATTAATTGTGTCTTACCTGTTATTGCTGAGATACAGTATGAAACATCACCAATATTGCTTTTATTGCCTGATATCAGTGAACATTAAATATTTATAAAGACACCACAGGCTCATTGTGAAATTAGTCCTTCTAAACCTGTTTTGCTCATAATATACTGTTTTCTCAAATTACAAATTTTACCATCATTGAAGTTTTCAGAACTATAACATTTTCATTAAAAAGATTATTCTGGACAACTTTAACTGGCTGGGTAGCTGGTGGCTGCTATTTTATATCCCCCCAACTTTATTGAGATATTACTGACATGAAACATGGAAGTTTAAAGTGTATGCAGTGTGATGATATGATATACCTGTGTATTATAAAATGATGACCACAACATGTTACTAATACCTCTATCCCTTTCCATAATTACTGTGTGTGTGTGTTGAAAGCATTTAAGATTTACTCTCTTAGCAACTTCCAACTACATAATACACTGTGGTTAACATAATACATAATCACCATGACAGACATTCGCCATGACATATTCATCCAATAGTTGGGAGTTTATACCCTTTGACCAGCATCTCCCTATATCCCTCAGTCCTAACTTCTGGTAATCAACATTCTATTCTCAGTTTCTGTGAGTTGAACTTTTTAGATTCTGCATATAATGAGAATATACACTAGTTTTCTTTCTCTGTATAATTAATTTCACTCAGCATAATTCCTTCAAGGTCCATCCATGTTGTTACAAATGGCAGGATTGCCTCCTTTTTTGCATTTGGGAAATGATCAACCACACATATGACAGCAGCCCAAATAGACTATACCCGTATAGCCTACATGTGTAGTAGGCTATGTTACCTAGTGTTGTGTCATTATACTCTATGACACTTGTACAACTATCGAATGACTCAACAATGAAATTCTCAGAACACATTCCAGTGATGCATGGTTGTATATCACTTTTGCTTTCTCCATTCATCTGTTGATGAACGCTTAGTCTATTTCCATGTCTTGGCTGTTATGAATAATGCTGAATGATGCAATTTCTCCTTGAGTTAGTGCTTTCATTTCTTTGGGTATATATCCATAAGAAGAATTGTTGGATCATATTGTATTTTTATTTTTAATTTTTAAATAATTAGACAGTTTTTATTTGGATCTTCAAAAAATCATAAAAGTAAAAACTGAGTGAAAAATCATCCTTTTGGGACAATTCACAAGCAACATTAAGATTCATCATTGTTATAGACTTCTAATGACTATTTTTAATATTTTGAGGAAATACTATATGGTTTTCCATGCTGGTTATACCAATTTACATTCCCATCAGCAGTGCACAAAGGCTTCTCTTCAGCACATCTTCACCAGCATTTGTAATTTTTTGTCTTTCAGGTGATAGTCATTCCACTAGGTGTGAAATGATACCTCGCTGTGGTCTTGATTTGTATTTCCCTGATAATCAGTGGGGCTGAACATCTTTTCATGTTGACCATTTGTATGTCTTCTTTGGAAAAATGGGACAATCTTACCTTGCCTTTAAAAAAATCTCATGTGAGAAATGCTCTCTGCAGACACCATTTTCAGTGATTGCACCTGTTGAGAACTGGCCATTTCAATTTTATGGGTCCAGGCAGTCTTTAAACTCACTGTGTCTACATTTGATCTCATCCTTCTATACTCTTCCCTCTACCATGATCTTTGTCTTGTTCAAATGAGACCATTCACCCACCCTGAAGGAAACTGGGAGGCACTGGACCTGTGCCCTCTCTTCCTTCCACACCTGTCATCAGGTGCTCTCCAAAAGTGTTCTCCAGGGCTTTCTACTGGGCACATGTCATTTCTTTTGTCCTGCTTTCAGCCTTCAAAATGACCTTCAGAAAGTATCAATCCCCTCATTTTCTTCCATAATGAATATTTGTCAGTGGCTTTCTACTCTCTCCTGGGATAAGCTCAGACATCCTAGGATGACATATCAGATTCTTCCCACTGTGGCCCCAACCCTGACTTATTTCTTGCCACAATCCCTCCTCTGCTCTCCAGCTACACTGCAAGCAGGCTAGGAGGCTTATGAACTCATGAGAATGTCTCAGTCTGGGGCCTGTGTGCTCAGCATGGTCTCTCCCTGCAGTGCTGTTCCCCCTTCAAGGCTAAGACCAAGATAAGCCTGATTCCCTAAGATTAAGTTCAAGTCCAAAGAGGAGGCTTCCCTGTACTCTCTTTGCAGATAGTACTGAGTGAACTGTATTCTCTAACCTTAATATTCTGCCACTTTTATTTGTGGGTATGTCTGCTTCTAATCGGCAGAATACTGGGTATTCTCAGGACGTGTCCCACTGCTTTTACAGCTCCAGCATGGAACAAATATGCATCAAGTAGGAGCTGGTTAATATTTTTTTGAATGAATGGATGATTGAGTGTGGGAATACAGTCATTTATTTAATCACTCTATTTTTAAATTTGCTTTTCATTTTTCAATATATAAATAATACTGTAATAAACATCATTGGAAATTTCTTTCTTCTGTATCTTATTTTTTTAAGATTTATTTATTTTTTTATACAAGCACTGGGTACAGTCAGAAGCACAGGAGGGTGAGAAAATTCACCAGAGCCAGGGCGGGGAACAGAACAGGAAGACTGATGAAATACACTGTTGAAGGGAGCAGCGGGTGCGGCAGGAGAGGTCTGCGCACCATGTGGGACCCTTGCCAGTGGCCGGGGATCGAACCGGTGCTGCAGAGGCTGCGGGCAGCTTCGCAACCCAGCGCTCAACTGCCGCACCACCAGGGGAGGCCCTCTTCTATACCTTGTTTTATTTCTTTAAGCTAGATCTTGGAAGAGTATTTATTGGTTACAAATGTTGGGACTTTTTTGCTATATTCCTGAGTGCTATTCCCATGTCCACTATTATTCCCATGTCCATTATTTCCATGTCCACTATTTTCTGGAATAGATACCATGTTTATCCTTATTCATTTGGCATTTCTTTGATTGTTGAGAAGCTGAAAATTTTCCAAATGTTTCTTAGTCATTCTTCTGTGAATTGTCCCAACAATTCAATTTATAGTTATATTTGGTTCCCTGGGGAGAGAGGAAAATCACTGAGCTTTTACAAGTGCATAATGTGAGGACTAAATCAGACATTGCAGAGTGGGGCCCACAGGCCTTTTCTCAGCCCTTTCAGATGGTGGTAGGGGGCTGAATGAAGGCTCTCACTCTTCCATGAGCTTATGAATGTGAGATCACAGACGTGAAGAGGGCTGCCAGCATCTCACCCTGGCTTCTTTCCCCATTTCTTCATAGTCCTTGGCTCTGTGTTGCTCCTGTGCTCTTGAGTCACTGTAATTGACTTAGGTTTTATCCCTTGCCATCCAGACCAATTCAGACATTTGTCAGTAACTTTCTTGGTGCCACAGCAGTCATGCTGTGAGTTACCCATGGTCAGTGGACAGAAGCTATCCTGTCTCTGGGGTGTCCATGGCTTTGGGACATCCTTGGCCACTCTTCCTTCCATCTCCTTAAGGTTATCAACTCTTGGCCCTCTTCTACCAACCATTCTTCTTGCACTGTTTGTCTACCCAATCAGGACCCACTAAACTGAGGCCTAGTAGTGATTATATCACTCTTACCAGCTTCACCAGCCCCCTGCTTCATCCTGAGTGTCTTATACAAGTGCTGATTCATGATCTTATTTCTTGACCTCACTATATATAGCATTTGTCCAGTTATTGGAGCATCCTCTTCAGTGCCCCGATACTCTCTGACTTCTTACTTGGGATAAAGCCCTGTCTAGAACTCACTTGGGTTCTCACTCCTCTGCACTTTTCATAAGCCCCTCCCCCAGGGTACAGCCCCTTCTTCTTGCTCCCCCAACCTCTGTACAGCAGTTTCCTTCAAACCTGGTAAACCTTTCTGAATTGAGACATTGCCACCACTATCTCTCTCTAGACTGTCTCCTCATGGGTATTACTATCTACCATGATTAAGCCCCAGGTCACTGTCCCTTTGAGCCCTCATGGTGAGAAGACTGGGCTGCCTCTCTTGAGCTTCCATTTTTGTCTCCAAATCCTCAGCAACTGCATTTTCTCCTGTGGACTGTGGAGTCAGCTGACTTGAGTATGAGTCCTGCTTAATCACTTACTAGCCCTGGGATCTTGAGCATGAGATATCTTAGTCTCATGTTTCCTTATCTATAAAATTGGTCTACTGACATCTACCCCACAGTGTTTTTGTGAAGATTAAATGAAGCAATGCAGAAATCACATTACCACTGTGCCTAGCACATGATAAGCGTTCAGCAAATATGAACTATTGGCATTGATATTACTCTTTTGCTACATGTTTGACCAGGTCCAATCTCTGGAAGAAGATACCATGCAATTCGTGCAAAAGCTGTAGGTCATAGTCAAATTGCTTCTATTCTTCTGTTCTTTCTATCTCACCATATGTGAGTGATGGTACCAAATAGACAGAATTCATAGACACAGAGAATTCTCAACAAAGTATGTTTTAAAGGCTATTTTTCAGTGGGCACAGTCCTGGAAATGAACCAGACACCATTGTAAGAAAGAGAGGGGTCTGCTTGAGAAGATAAATGCCCAAGGACACCCTCACAGAGAAAAGTATTTCACACACATACACACCCCCTCTGGGAGCCACGATGAGTGCCATGTGCCCAAGCATTCTTTCTTTCTTGGCTTTAGCAGGGAGCAGATGGTCAGACTCAGTCCTCATTTTCCCTTTTCAAAATACAAACTGGGCTTTGTATAAAGTCTAGTTAATGTAAGGGATCTATCCATATAATCCCAGCTTCTTATGAACAACATGAATATTGAAGTGGGGCGTCTCACATCCATGGTTTTAAGTTAGGGACTTCATTAGAGTCACTTATATCTTCCTGCGTGAAGGAAAAGAAGAGAGTATCAAATATGGGAAACTCAACATATCTGATAAGTATTTATATTTCAGAAAATCAAATCTTGGCTTAAAGATGACTGCCAGGGAAATTAAGATTTGTAGCTAAAGATGGTATTCCATCTTTGGAAACCCAGGTAATTGGAAGACCCACTTGTTAAAACAATGTTTGTGAAGACAGTTTCCTTTTTACATAATAAGAATGTTTTTTAAGAAAGGAAAATTGGGGAAAACTCAAAATTAGTATTATCCATGGCCCTCTCTCGTCAGTCATAAATGAGTACTCTTGACATTTTGACGAGGACAGTTTTGTAAAGGCAGACAGTGGCAGTTAATTTTATCCAAGCCTCTGCTGGTGCCATGACATTCCCATGAATGCTCTCAGGTAGCACCATCATGGTTCAGAACCCGTCAGCTACAGAGAGCGTCTCATACAGTGTTTCTGAGGTTTCTTTTACTAGTGATTGCTAATTAGGAACACTTGCATTCTCAGGGCTAATCAGAAAAACTTCATGAGATAGAAGGAGGAAAAACAGCAGGAAAAAACAAGTGATACCAGAAACTGGGTCTGTGGTGTTTCTTGCCACAGGAGCAATGAAACCAACATCATTCTTGTGTGTTTTTATGCTCATCTCTCGCTTCTAAATTTCAGACTATGATAAGTGTGTGCAAATGGCCGATTTGAGTCGTGCACAACAGGCCCAACCCAAGCCTCTCACTTGGATTCAGAGATTGTCATGCACAGAAAATGCACTGTTTGAACCGAGGTTGGAGGACACCACAGGAGGCCTTCTGTGCATGTCACTGGATAACGTGCAAACTGGCAAAGAGACAGGGGCAGAAGGAATGAGAGGCAGGTGGGTTTGACACATCTGTTCTCAGAGCCCCAGTCACCATGTACTTGGTGCTCTGGAGTGATCTGCACCTGAAGAAATTGTTCAGAGGAGGTCAAATGTCTAAGGGCAATTTACATTCATTGGGTAACTGTCAGCTAAGCTCACAGAGATTTCCTGAAGACCGGATATGAACAAAGTCTATGCCAGACACCATAGGGAAGACTTGCTGGCCTATTACTATGTTGCTTCTGTCTTTAGGTAGAGAAAGAACTAGGTGTTCATAATTGAACAGTACTAAATAAGCAAGTTGTAATAAAGCCTACTTGGTCTTATTATATGCCAGAGACTGTTTTAAGCACTGTTTCTTTCAACAAATTTAACCATCACACCCCTGTGAAGTTCTGGTTCTCTCCATTCTACAGAGGAAGCAATGGAGTTTGGCATTTGAACACACAACTGGCTCTGACCTCTACTTGTGCTACTTTCCCTATTGATGGAGTGCTTGCAATTTAATTTACAAGTGAAAATAATGAGCTTATAAACACAACTTTACATTTTAACACAATGACCCATACAGTGTAAAAATAGCCTGGAAGTTGGATTACACTTACATTGCAAGTTGTATAAATAGTGCAGATTCATAGGGAGCGCGTGACCAGTGAAGCTTGCTGAAGGAGCTGTTTTTGAAGACAAATACATCTGCTTCAGCAAGTGGGTAGACATGATTCATTATGTGTGTGTGTGTATATATAGATATATAATATGTATATACATATTATATCTTAAAGTAATTCTTAGAAAATTATTGCCCCAAATTCTGTTGATGCAAATGTGCCTTACCATGCATTGCAAACTGAATCAATAATGTTGAGGCAAAACAGTCTGTCTCTTGCTAGGTAAAAATCTACCCCAAATTGCTTAAAGCAATCATTTTGTTATCCCATTTCACAATTTTCTGGTTAGAAATTTAGGCAGCGGGTAACTGGAAGACTCTCCTGCTTTGCTTGGTATTGACTGAGTCGCTTGGCGGTACTCAGGATTCATCTGGAATCCTCAATGGTGGCATTACTCACATGTGGCCCCTTCTTGGGGATGGCTGGGACTGTGAGCTCTGCTGGGTCTTTTGTAGTCCCCATGTGGCCTCACACTCTCTCCATGTCCTTCCTTCAGTAAGGAAGCACTTCTATATGGCAGCTCAGGCTGCAGGGGCCCAAGACCAGGCTGCCAGTCCTCTTAAAGGCTAAACCCAGAGTCGGCACATCATCAGTTCTGCTACAATCTTTTGGTCTAAGCAATCTCAAGTCAGCATAGATTCACGGGTAGTAGAAACAGACCCTACTTCTTGATGTCAGAGCATTTGTGACCATCTTTAATCTGCCACTCAAATTGGTAGTATCTCATAGCACTTTTTAGTTTAAAACCCAAAGAGGCCATGACTGAATAAAAGCCACCTTGAGAATGTGTTCACTGCAAGGCATCCTTCCTGAGACCCACGGGGCTTCTAATGACCTGCCGGTGGACTTGTGCAGTGGCAGCCAACCTTCTCAGTAGAAAAGTGAATTAAAGTCTTCCAGTAAACTGATAATACTCTAAGTTTAGTTTATGAATATCAATTTTTCATAGCCTTTGTAACTCACTGCAGAGGTTACCAGTAATGTTATGTGAAACCAGAATTCTAGTACCATCTGGATAGTCTCAGTATCACAGCCTAGAGCAATTATTTGGATACAGGTTATTTTTGTGGAGATGATTCCAGGAAGCAGGAGTGAGCAGAGAGAATGAGATAAGGGAAGGTGGGTCAGTAGAAAAAAAGCAGGGGGGTGGCATGGGGGAGCCTTCTTTTTCATTGAAGTAGCTGTTGTGGGCAACCAGGGCTCAGTTCCAATGAGAAGTATACAGAAGGCCTTCCAGAATTTACACCTGAACAACAGGAGGATAGACACTGTCAAGACAAGCCTGGGATATAGGAAATTATTCCTATTTCATGGTTTGGAAAGGGAGGTTATAAAGGGCTGCATATCCAACCCAAAGGTGAAGTAGTGGGAGATTTACAGGAGGCTGGATGACTCTAGAGTCCCTTCTAAGGCAGAAAGACCCCAAAGCCCTTTTTCCCAGTACACACTGATAACCAGATTGGTCTTTGATGGGGTCTGTTAGTGGATCGGTCTGTTAGTGAATCAAATGGCTGATCTGGCACAGACTTGCCTTCCCTAGGCCACTAGCCACATCCAGAAATGCTAGGAAGTTGCTTCCTGGGCCATTTTATCTCATCTTGTCTTCTTTCCCCACAGCCCATGCATTGGCCGGGAGCAGTTGGAGAGTATCTCTTTGATCCAGAAGCCAAAGACTTGTCACCCTGTCTCTGAGCCACCTATTCAGAGTATGCACATGTGTATGAACCAGGCCAGGGGCCAGGTTTTGTGGTCAAGGAAACTTTAAGTGACACTTGCTTTGATTCTTTTGTTATTTCTTCATTATGCTTCATCAATCATGTTTATAGCCTTTTTGTTTTGAAAAGTATCTCCCAAATTTCATATGGTCAGAAAGAGTGCTTGTAACACACCTTTAGCTATGAACCTGAAATGTGTTAGAGCTGGTAGAGCTGGTGGAGAGATTCCCAGTACTCTGGTCCGGTACGAAGAACCTGCTGTGAAATGATATGGTTGGAAAGCTCATCATACGGTTTAGTCACAACTCTTCATGCAGGCCCAGAATATCACCTCCACTATATCAGAAACCATATGTAGAGTAGGCGGCATTGCCTTCTGCCACATCCTCCAGGCAATTCCCCAATGGAATGTAAAGAGATTCCAGAACTGAAGGAAATATTTATGCTTAATGAGCATTAAGCCTGTGAATTGAATCTGGGTGACTCTCATGAACTGTCTGCCAGGTTAGGCCATGGTCCCTGGGGCAGTAGGAATGTGGAAAACATTGAGTGGATGGTCACCACTTGGGGCTTTTCCCCCTGGGCTCTCTGATGGGAATTGAGTGTCCCACCCAGGATTCCAGACCACCCAGAACAAACTCAGGGCTCTCTTTCTGTCTCCTACAAGACCCAAGCTGGGGGAAGCACCGTAGGGCACGTATGCTGGACTGTGGGGCCTTATCACCCTCTGACAATTAGAGGGCCAGAGGGGAAACCTTGCTGTCTCATCTCTGCTCTAATTTTATTTTTAGTTTTCCATGCCAGCAAGTATATCTCTGCTCAAATTCTGCCTTGTCTCAAGACCAAAAAAACAAAACAAAACAAAACAAAACAAAAAACCTACAGTGAGTTGTATGGAGAACAAGTAAATCCCATGGCCCTGCTTCTGCTCTCTTAGCTCAAACTTAACCAGCATTGATCCAGTGAGGTTCATCAGAAGTATGTGTTCAGTAATCCATTCAGTGTGTTTGTGTTTGTGTGTGTGTGTGTGAGAGAGAGAGAGAGACAGAGAGAGACAGAGACAGAAAGAGAAGGAGAGAAAGAGAGAGAGAGAGAGAGAGAGAGAGAGATACTGTCTCCTGGGGTTGGGGAAACACAGTGTAGGTCTTTGTTGCCCCCTTAGGGTCACAAAATAACAGGAGGAAGAGCTTTTCAGCCAAAGCCAGTCAAGAAATTGTGCAAGTGACACTGAACCAGGATCCAAGTTGTGGTTTTGGTAAGTAGGCTCCCAGCAGGTGATGCCCAGTGTTTCACTCTGGACAGAAGGGAAGTGTGAGCCAGCTTCCCTCTTGTCTTTTCCATTCCTCTTTCTGGGCTTTCCTCTCCTAGTTGACTATTTTTCATTTATCACTTCTGGTTCAAAGTTTTCCTTCTTGGGCTAATAAGGTTTGGGGGTATATGTCATGAAAATCTTAGTTGTTTAAAAAAAAAATCCTAGTACCATGTGACAACATTTCTCTAGTATATTTAGATTCTTAGCGATGGGGAGGAACACAAAATCTTTTCATCTCTTAACTACTTACCACATTAACACTTTAGACCCTTAGGATAAGAAATAATACATGGAGACAAGGTAATTGATTAAAAAACATCTCTTTCCATCCCTGATTATCTACTGGAGCAAAATCTGGTACACATTCATGGGCAGTGGTCCTAGCTCTAGCTGTGCTTACTGATAAGGGTCAATTTACTTTCCTCCATGTGTCAAGGAAGAGTAGAAAGAGCTGTTTGAGGATCAGAGGACATAGATACTAATATCAGCCACTTGGTAGCTGTGTGATCTCAAGCAAATAACCTAACCTCTCTAAGCTACAAAATCATTAAGTATCATGAAAAAATCATCTTGGATTACAGGTTTTGTCATTAATGAGGGTGAAGATGTAGGCAAAGTTTATCCTGTCATCTTTATATCTTCTCTTATACCTGGGGGACCAGCTGAAAAAGCTAAAAAGATCAAACCAGGTATGTCTTCTTTTTAAAATGACCTGAGGTGCCACTTTAAGGAATGGCTCTTTCTTGAAGGTATTGAGAACTTTAATTTTTTCAGGAGCCGATACTAGCCTTGAATCACATCAGTCTGGAGGGCTTTACATTTGACATGGCTGTTAGAATGATTCAGAATTCTCCTGACAATATAGAATTAATCATCTCTCAGTCAAAAGGTGTGTCAGCCTGCTTTCAGAAGTTTGGCGGGGGTGGGGGGGGGACCCTCCTCTATTATCAGTATGTTATTGCTATGGGGTTTTGGATCTTTAAGCCCATGCAGGTCTTTTGCATTGCTTTCCTTGTGACTTTCAAAGAAGCAATGTAATGGCACAAATCAATAAGCCCTGCAATTTCAGGGGCAGAATGAACTCTACTGGTGCTTGTCCTGCTGAATAGGAGTAGCCTATGCTATCCTTTATTGGAAATGGCCAATACACCCATTGGATTTTTTTGGTTCACTCTTCCTGCATGGCAGGGAAGACATTCTTTTTGTTACTGAAGTCAGTATAGAAAGTGATTGTTCCAGGATTTCTACATAGGTGGAGCTTAGGTGTGGGAAGGACACTGGGGAAATGTTCTTGAAGCTGAATTTGCATAGCAGGCATGCTGTTCTTACTTGGCGTGCATGTTAGAGATCAACCAAAAAGGTAACTTTTTTTTCCAACATGATTTTATTCATCCTTTATATAAGTAGTATGGAAAAACAATCATTTACAGCAAAGAAAAATATGCTTAATTGGGGCAGTTTTGGAGGGGGACTGATGGAGGTAATGGGGGAGGGGAACATTCACTCTGAGTTACCTGAGAACATCACTGCATTTTGCTTGGATGATCCTGTAATTTTACAGCTGACTGCCTGCAAATTCAGGCTCATGGGATTTATCCTCACACTCCAGAAGCATTGCACAATTTCCCTTATGTACACAAATCCTTCATATCACACCAACCAGCATTTTCTAGGTCCTAACTATAGATATTCCATTTCCCTGCCCTCTGAAAATCATGCACACTCTCTCATTCTTGACATCTAGACATCATCACCAACAGATGACTTTCCCAGGTGTTATAATCTCCCTGGTTCAGAAGTCATGGAGGGAAGAGGTGTAGCAAAACTGGTGCCTCAGTCAGGACCTTTCATCCCAATCTTGGAGTTGACCGAGGGGCCTGCCCCAGCACTTCTAACACCAGAGACCCAGCTCACTTTCGCTGTTGGATTTCCCAAAGTTATCACTATTCTTACCACAATAATTTACTCTCCTTGTATTCCCTGCCACACTTTCCATGGGGTAGGAAGAAAAGGAGAAATAAAATCATCCTTTTTTTTTAAAATCAAGATATATAATGCAATTGATCTGGGCTCAATATAGTGTTGTTTAAGGATGATGGCCCATTGTGATGGGGAGATGTCAAAAATTGACACTCAAAGTCTTCCAGGTTCAAAGCACAGTCACATATTAAAATACTAGACAGCAGGGCCTCCCCTGGTGGCGCAGTGGTTGAGAGCTGGGCTGAGAGGCTGCTTGCAGCCTCTGCAGCACCAGTTCAGTCCCCGGCTGCTGGCGAGGGTCCCACATGGCACAACAGACCTCTCCTGCCATACCCACAGCTCCCCTCGGCAGCGTATTTCGTCAGTCTGCCTGTTCTGTTCCCCACTCTGGCTCTGGTGAGTTCTCTTGCCCTCCCGCACTTCTGACTGTACCCAGTGCTTGTATAATAAATAAATAAAAGTAAAAAGAAAAAAAGAATACTAGATAGCAGATTTCCCACAGTGCCCATGGATAACTTGTCCTCTCTCCCAGGGGCTTCAGTGACTTGTTGCTAACACTGCCTCATCACAGTTGGGATTCCTCACACAACTGCTACCATTACCAGAGGAAGATGTCTCCATGGTGATGCTTGATAGGTCTTGACCTCTATGAATTTCTATTTGGCTAAGCTGCTGTGAGGGCAGGCAGTTCAGATCAGGGACAAGACAGATAATATTTCCATGATAAGCAGCCATCACTGACTACAATAGGTTGAGTTTTAATTAGCCACAGAAGGTCTCCCAGCTTGCGTTTCTATTAGACAGGACACAAGTTCACAGCTTGACTTTTAAATTCAACCATAAGTCCCATTCTTGTCTCTTACGGAGGGTGTCGAGGAAATGGAACAGATGCTTTCAGTATTGCTAGAGGACAATGAAGTGGACTCTATGAACAAATTGGCCAGGAATGAGGCATTATGGAGTGGTGACCCCACCAATCCCTACTGATCCCTTTAGATTTGAATGTCTTCAAATCTAATTCATTAAATTAAATTCAGTGTGTGAGTTTGGGCACTAATGAATCCAATGAATCTGGATGCTAATGGATCTGTATCAAAAGCGGTAAGCCTATTGGTGTGTTTACATATACAGATCCAAAGGTAATATAAATAAAATGCCTCTTTCCCGTGTGCATTTGTTGACTAGTTAACATAAACATATTAACAGTGAATACATCTGTTGAGGGCCTTCTGAGATGTAGTCATTCCATCTGGTTCTCTCATATATAGTATCTCTAGATTTCATCTGTAAGACTTACCAACCATACAAGGTAGTTGATATTATCTCTAGGTAAAGGGAAATTGAGGTTCAGAAATGTTAAGTATTTTTCCCAAGGTTTTATCTATTGATTCTCGACCTTGTTGTCTTTCCTTTGTTCTGTGCTTGGTCAAAGGTCAGACACAGGGTTTAAAAGTAATAGGTGGCTCAGCCTTCATAGGAAGTCCATGGTTAGTTATTGCCAAGCTCCCAAAAAGGATCTGATGTGTTCTGCTTTGGGGATTACAAGTGTGCTCAGCAGGGTCTATAGATGAGACTGGGTTTAAGAGCACCACCAATTGCTAGTTATGGAATCTTGGTAAGCTTCTTAATTTTTTTTGACTATGCTTTCTCATATTTGAACAGAGATAACACCTTCCCGGTGGGTATGTTGAAAGATGGAGGGGTGTGTGTATGTGTGTGTTTGTGTTTCTCTGTGTGTATGCGTACTGCCCATCACACTATGGGGGATCTGGTATTATTGACTCTCTATTACTCCTGTGTTTTCATAGTTGTATTGCAAAATTTCATTTAAGTTTCGAATCACATCCAGAATCATCCCTCCATTCTAAATACAACATCCATCATGATGTGTGCAAAGCTCACATCATTCCCAGCAGCTATAAAAGGTCTCTCAGTCATTGGAATAAAGCCCTGCACCCCATGTAGAGATACCACTGAGATACCAACCTTTCCAAGTTGTTGACTCCTTCTTGGCTTGTTTTTATAGGTGTTTGTGGTAATCCCTCAAACAAGGAGAAGGATAACACAGCCAATTCTGGGATTTTCTCCACAGACAGCCTGAGCAATGGGCACCAGGAAAGTTTTCTGTCACACACAAGAGACCATGAGAGAAACAGTGAAGAACTTGAAATGGCTGGGACTCAGAGTTTAATGCCCAGGTCGGGGCCTCAGGTCTCCTTTCTGCCATTAAAGGTAATCATCCCCTTGGTTGCCTCTGTAGAATTTGGAGGAAAGAGAATAGGCTGTGGAGCCTAACAGTGCTGGATCCAAGTTCTTTTTTTCCCTTTATTTGCCATGTCAGAGGGGGATGCATCTCAGCTTTCTCAAGTACAAAATGGAAGTAAATGAATTTATGGTTGTTGAGAAGACTGTAAAGTGGGAAAGGCAAAGCTTAGGTCACAGGGCTCAGTGTTTGAACCTCTAGTGTCCTTAGTCATTAACTATAATTGTTCCTTATAATACCGCTGGTTGCTGCCAACGTCAATGTGTGGACAACCAGGCCTATCTCATATTCTTGACCTCTAGTTGGTCTCAAGGTGCCAACAGGTGAGCAGGTGAGTGCTAAGAGGTGCCACTGCCTATGCAGGTTAACTGCCCTCATGCTATCTTTATTTTTGCTTGTTTGATGCAGGGTCCTGGGTCTTGTCCTCCAGCACCTTCAGAAACTAATGCCAGTGAAATCTACTTTGTAGAACTGGTTAAAGAAGATGACACACTTGGATTCAGCGTGACTGTAAGAGTTATTAGGCGAGCTTACAGAAAAGTAAACAGTAGGAAAGACGCTCATTTGAAACCTTGGTGGGCATTTCATTCAGCCCACAACTCCAGAAGTGTGCTCTCTGGGTGCCAGCAGCACGTGGGAAGTGGATGCACCAAAAAGACCCTGCGATGCCTGGGTCAGGGAGGGAGTTTAAGGACAAATTGGGAGACCCAGAGCAAATGTGGGGTGAGCAGGAACTCTCAGCAGTGTGGCTGAGCTGATTCCAAGGTTATGCTGAATACCGAGGAGAAGACAAAAGGGTGGGGCTGCAGGGACACAGGCCAAAGGTTGAGTGGGGTGCTCCGTGGCCAGCCAGGGCTGGGTCATGTTCATAGAGGAACCTGGTCCTCCTGCCTCCAAGGCCAGGATGAGCATTTTGCATTTGGTTTCTGCAGAGAACAGAGGGGAAAAAAAACTATGCGAGATACAATCCCACTGATGTGAAAATATGTGTGCATACATGCATAAAATAAATTAAAAGAAAAAGAGCTTTTTAGTGATCTGTGGAGAAGTTTGATGATTATTAAGCTAAAAAAAAAAAAGTAAGTTGAAGTATAATAGGCACTTTAATTCTACTTTTCTATCACAAACACACACACAAGACACAAGACGTGCCTTCGGCCCTGCGGCCTATCCACCTACCCTGGTCGCTGCCTGTAGAGAGGGGCAGTGGTGTGGCACATCCATGTGACTGGTTCCTGAGCACGTGCCTTGGCCAGTGCAGGAGCGGGATGTGGACAGCCCCCTTACTTGCCTTGTCTCCTCACACTTCTGATGAGCTCCAAACCTGACTGTCCAGGGGATAATATGGTCCAAACAAAGAGGTGAATGTCTAAGATGGTGTCACATGATGATGCGCTGAAGGGATAGAGCGGCAGGCAGGTGGGGGCTTCCTTAGTCAAGGAGGTCAGGAAGGCCCATCCAGAAGGAGATGGACAGGTGGTGTGTTTTCCATTGTGTTTTTCAGGGTGGCATTAACACAAGTGTGCTCCATGGTGGTATCTATGTGAAATCCATTGTTCCTGGAGGGCCGGCTGCCAAGGAAGGGCAGATCCTGCAGGGTGAGGCGCAGGGTCGTACTGGACACTGCATTCTGAGGTGTGATGAGTCCTGGCCTGGGAAGGCAGCTCCTGGCCTCCCTGATTCTACTCTGACACCTTGTATAAATGTTGCCTCTCCAGGTCAATGTTTCCTCACCTGGAAAGGGGGTAATTCAACCTGGCCAGGCCACTGATGTGGGGACTGAATGTTTTTGGTGGCACATTGCACAGCATAAAATGACTTAAAGTGATAAATTCTTAAAGAGCTTGATGCTGTTTGGCTTTTGTGGCAGAAAATAGTGCTTCTCGTGAGAACAGAGTGTGCTCACATAATGATTTCCTGTTTAGTGTGGGAGCAGCACTGTGAGCCTTCTCTCTGCCCTTCCTCATGTCCACTGAGGAAGCTTTGTTCTCCAAAACAGCCAGAATTGAGCCAAAAAAGGAACCTCAGATCGTACTCATCTCCAATCCCCCTAGAATTTGTGTTCCTGGCATCAACCACGTCCCTTTGACTTTTTTTTTTTTTTAAGTAAAACACTTTCAGAAAACAGAAATATTACCCCTAAGAAATTTGAAAATACCTTCAGGAACTGTTACGTAGGGAGGCAGAAAGGCAAGACTGTCACAGCAAGTTCTACCACCCCAGAAACCAACTATCAAGAGCCTTCTCTATCAGCCTTCTCCGTCACTGCTCCTGAAGAGGTTCAGAGTGGTTGGCACTGGGCAGGAGGGCTTTTTGCAGCATGTTCCCTGCCCCTCCTGAGACTACATGGAGGGACGCTGGGTGGGAGCTTCCCTGAAAAGCTGTGTGGCCCTGTGGAAAAGCTCCTGTGGCCCCAGGAGCATGACATCTGTCCCTTTCCCAGGTGACCAGCTCTTGCAGGTGGATGGAGTGAGTCTGTGTGGCCTCACCCACAAGCAGGCCGTGCAGTGCCTCAAGGGTTCTGGACAGGTGAGTGCGTGGTTAGCAGGGAGATTCCCTTCCATTCCAGGGCTTTCCTGGACAGCATCAGAAATTGCAGTTGCCTCTGGTGGGGCAAGCAGGAAGCAAAACAAGACTTTCTTTTTCTTCTCTTTCACTTCCTTTAACCACCACTTTTCTATGGAGAAAAGAAAGCCAGGATGAAGCAGACAGATGTTTTGAAGTAGAAAACCTCACCCCCTATAAATAGGTTGAATAACTGTCTTTTCATTTGTAGAGAATTCTGGAATTAGACAGCTGAACAGAGCTGATGGAGTGAGACCTTGTGGGTCTCCTGTCTGACTCTGGCTGCCCCTCACCTCTCTAGTCCAGCCCTAGCTGATCAGTGCTTCCTTTTGCCTTCAGGCCTTCTCACCAACCTGCCCTCCTCCTCCCCCAACCCCTGCCAGATTATCCCTCTGTGTGAGGACAGGCCTTAATCTCCTGGGCTTCTTTTCATAACAAATAAGCAGATATTCAAAATGCCCAGGCATTCACTCATTACATAACTCCTATTTTATGCAGTACCCAGGCAGCTTCTGGGTGTCAGGGCCTCTGCTTGAGAGTGGGAGCCTTTACTTGCCTCTTGCCTCTGTGTTCTAAACACCAGAGCTGGCATTGCTATCTCAGTAAGTTAGGAGCTGGGAGAGACAGAAAAGTCTTCTGGGGGCCCTTCTAACAAACCACGGGGCAGAAGGGTCCCTTTTTCCTTCCTTTTCCAAGCAGTCTTTTGGCATTTACTTAAATTTGGCAAACTTGGTTGATATATTTTGAGAACAGAGCCATAATTTATTAGTTATCTTTGTTCTATAAATCTTTGCAAATGAACTTGGTTATAGAAGATACTTGGCTGGCCTATTGGCAGCAATCTCAGGAGGGCATTGCCACCTGGATCAGGGGTTTGGTGCTGAATGATTATTGCAGCAGACAGTGAAGACTCCTGATTGGAAGCTTGACATTTCCAAAAGGCTGCCAGGTGATATTTAGCAATGGGTTCTTGAATTATACTTTGGTTAAAAGAGTATAGAGTATGTGTGGAAGAAGGAAGAAGAGGAAATTGAACCAGAAAGAAGAGGGAGGCCAAGACGGTATAGGCTTGGGATACCATGCTGTGGAGGGGGAAAAGGGACTGTTTGACTTTTAAGAAACAGGAAAAATTGGAGACTCTTAATCAGAAGTGTTGCACATTCAATTTGTGGCTTAGTTAGATCCACAGATAACCACGATGGGCTGGAGCTGTAGTTAGGGGCCAGGAAGCCGAGTTAGCCACAATCGGCTGAGCATCGATAGCAGGAGAGGGAATGGAGGAAGAGGAGCAATAAGGGAGATTTGGAGAGCATGCAAGCCATAGGAAACAGATGGCTCTTTGGAGGGCAGAGGTGGGAAAGCCGGACCACTGCAGCATGGCCTTGGGGAAGAGGGGAGGCTAGCTGGAGATGGTTCGAAATTCTGAGAGAGCATATACAAGGGAAGGCCTGTTTTAATGTTTTAGGCAGAATGAAGAGGGGGAGACAAGGATGCATAAAAGGAAGAAGATGAATTTGGCCTTAAATACACTAAAAAAGTGGTACATGTGTTAGTTCTAGGAGCATTTGTCCAAGAGAGAGTTGGAAATACAGTTTTGGATCCTATCAAATAGCCTAAATTGAAGATTTTGATTTGAGAAGCAGCTACTGGAATTATCAGAAAATTAAGAGGCATTTGCAGAGTGAAAGGAGAGATTCCTGTCTGCCATATGAAGTATAAATGGAGTTTGTCCATCTGTCCTTCTAGGTTGCAAGACTGGTCTTACAGAGGAGAGGCCCCAGGACTGCACAGCAGTGTCCTGCTAATGACAGGATAGGAGATGAATGCACAACTGTTTCCTTGGCAACAGCCTTGCCTGGCAGGCCCCTGAGCTGTGTCTCAGCGACAGATGGTGAGAGGAGAGAGAATCGAGTGTTACTATTGTCATGTCATCCTGTGCCGCTTTTGAACTGTCAGCTCAAAAGGGAAAGCAGGAAGGCTTCTTCTGGGTTCTTAAAAGAAAAGCCCGCAGTGGTGATCATGATGCAGCTGACTTTCTGATGCAATGGAAGCTAAATTAGTGAAATACGTTTCTAGAAAAAATAATGTATTGTGCCAAAAATGATTCTTTCCCCAAGTCTCCTGAGCCTTTCTGATCAGTAGCTGGAATGTTTGTGTGTAAGATTTTCAGGGATGAAATTGGAGTGAAAGGTCGTGCATATTCTGGCCAAAGCTCTGCATTCCAGCCAGTACATTTGTAACAAAAGAGCTGAGGATTGATGTGGCAGGTGGGAAGAGGAAAATACCTAGTCTTGTAATCAGCATCAATTTATAAAGCAAATCCAAGATGAATTTACAGGGGTGTCATTTCAAATAATGACAAATCTTCTGATGGGCTGCCTCTCTGCACCTCCTTGTGGTTTTGTTTCCTGCTAGGAAAGCATTTATTTCCTCAGTATATCATGAATTGGGGCTTAGCTATTTTTCACTGCCTTTATAGAGAATTTCCAGCCCTGCTGCAGGAGGTATAAGTCAGACTGAATGCCAGGTAGCAATGGTGAATAATGGGGCTAGATGGAGAGAAAAGTGTGCAACTTAAAACAAGTCTGTGTCCTCTTTCTTGCTTCTTTGCCTACTCCAGTGAGGGCTTTTGAGAAACTGACTACAAAATGAGCTTATGGTGATGGTAAATTTGTCCATACAACACACTTGAATCTAACCTCTTTAGGATCCTATATTCTTGCCTCGGATCAAAGTTTACAAGTTAATACTCTGTCTCTACTGATTGCTTGACAACTGAGTTAGTGAAGGCAGACTAGGGGAAGCCCAGGGCCTCTGTAGCTGCCATATTATCTATGTTCCTGGGACAGTGTCATTCTTAGGCGCCCAGAGGCAGCTCTGTTCTGTCTTATGTCAGTCCACACAGCTAAATGAAATAGCAGCTAAAACATTTCCATAAAGTTGGCCATAATTGTGCCCATGGTTTAATGATGCAAAATTTTGTTTCAAGTATACCAAAAATGATTGAAATTTTAAAGGAGTAGTAGGAGCATACAGAAAAGTAGTTTTACTAAATGCCATGGGCATATTTTATGTGGCTATAAACTGTATCTTTCTATATAAATATTGTTGATTATCTGCAGTTGTACAGTCTGATATGATAGCTGTTTGCCACATGTCACTGTTGAGTCCTTGAACTGGTCAATCCAAGTTGTAAAAGTCCATTCTGGATTTTGAAAACTTACTTCACAATAAGAATGTCAACTATCTTATTAATAATTTTTCATTTGATTACATGTTGAATGGTACTACTTTAGCTATATTGAGTTAAATAAAATGTGTTATTAAGTTTAATTCACCTGTTTCTGCTTGCTTTTTAAAATGAACTCTTTGAAAACTTTGAAATGACATATATGACATTTCCCTACAGCTCACATTATATTTTCATTGGAAAGCACTGATTTATAATATTATAATGAACTGTCATAAAAATTAGCAAAATGAAATCTTTTTATATAAAACAAATAATTCATCTATCTGACAATTTGCATTTGGAGGCTGGCTGATTTAATTTATAATATCTACTGAAGAATTGATCTTGTTCACATCCCATGATACAGGTCCTAAGTTTGAAGTCAAACTGAGAAAGAATGCCAGTGGCCTGGGATTCAGCTTTGTGCAGATGGAGAGAGAAAGCTGTGGCCATCTCAAGAACCATCTTGTGAGAATCAAAAGGCTCTTCCCAGGGCAGCCAGCTGAGGAGAATGGGGCCATCGCAGCTGGTGACATCATCCTGGCTGTGAACGGAAGGCCTACAGAAGGCCTCGTCTTCCAGGTGGGAGGCCAAAGTGATGCGGCCATGTACAAGCTGATGCCGGCCTGGTCCTCTTGGGCCACTCCCCAGAGGGAATACTCTGGGTTCTAGAAAACCACACTTGGAGCCTGGAATTTGATCATACAAAGAACAATTGTTCTTTACATTTAATTTAATTTTCCACTTTAGTTCCTAAATATCTGACCTTGAGTAAGCCTTGCTTCTAATTAGGTTCATAATGAAACCCAAGATTAAATCTCTGGGTTTCTCTGCTGACTGCATTTCTCCTAATGCACATTCTGGAAGGTGGGTATGAGAGCTGACAGGGCTATAGTGGTTCCTCCTATTTTCCCTATCAAACATACCTTTCAATGCATAGTGTTGCATAGGTTATCCTGTGTATAATATAAGATGTCATTTCAAAAAATAGTGAAAAGTGGATACTTCTCAATGCTTATAGCACAAAAATCTCATATTTTTGATATCTTGTATATATCAGACAGGGTCCTGGAGGAAAATTGGGGTATTTGAAAATAGTTCACTAAAGATGTGGGCTGTCGATAGGAAGCTCAAGAAAGAATATAGAGCCCTGGTGCTGGGAACAGTAGCTGTAGCTGTCTGCTTCTGCAAGTCCAAAGAGATATGGGAAGGAGCATTTACACAGCCTGGAAACTGAGAGAGCTGGGTGGTATAGACCACTTGGCTTCTGTGACACCTGGGACATAAACTGTGACTTTTACTGAGGGATAGTCATCCTGTGACAACCCCACAGGGAAGAAAGCAGGAAAATAAACACCACCTCCTTCCCCACCCTGTGTCTGGATGTCTGGTCTCTGCCCAAGCTCCCTCTGGCTCAGCCCAACAGGCAAGGTGGTCACAGCTGCACAAGTCTCCCTGCCTGCAGAGCACAGAGCAAGGGTACACAAAAGTGAAGAGGGGCTCCGAGCAAGCTGGGGAATAGGGGTAGAGCACCTTTGGGACAGTGTACATTAGGGCAGGGGTGTCCTCATCCATCAGCTCCTGATCCAAGGACCGTTCTCTGAGAACTGTTGCTGGGTCATCAATTCTGTAAGACCTAACGACATAGAGACAGATGGTTCATGCAGTTTCAACTATCAGTGAAGGTGGGATGGAGCAGAAAACAACAGACTGTGGAAAGTGCATGTTGTAAGAGATTAAAGCTTCCAGTGCAGTGCTTGCACCAGTGACCTGGGTTGGGGAACACATTCGTGGATATCCCTTGGGGCTAAAGGGGCTACTAAGTAGCATACAGATCAGAGGTTCTCAAGTAGGGATGATTCTGCTTTTTAGGGGATGTTGGCAAAGTCTAGAGACATTTATGGTTGTCACAACTGACAGGTGCTACCGGCATCTAGTGGGTAGATACCAGAGATGCTGCTCATCCTCCTACAATGTACGGGAGAACACCTACAACAGAGATTTATCCAGCCTAAAATGTCAATAGTGCCAATAGTTTAAGTAGGAAATAAGTGCTATCAAGGCAACCTCAATCCCTGGGGTCTGAAAGGTTTGGAGTGCTAAAAAAATGATTATAGACAAACAGCAACACTTCTTCATTTTAGAGACTGAAAAATGGGGTGGAAGGTGGGAAAATTTTCTAGGATAAAGACTAAAGAAAAGGAAGAGAAAAATAGAAAATAACTGATAGAATAGGGCCACATTGTCAACCTGGTTTAGGGTAAGAAGACCCAGAGCTGACTTGTCACTTGGGGACTGGCCTACTGAATATGCGGTTTCTGGTGAAACTGAGCATTACAGGAACACAAAAGTTGTGTAAGTTTCAGTTTGCTGATGCAGCATCCCCAGCAGGAGTGGCTCCATCTTGGGCCAATAGGAGCAAGAGATCCAGCATGGAGGGAACTCATGATGTGGTGCAGAGTGGAAGAGTGAATGGGGTGAGAGGCAGTTGGTCTGAATGCTGTGCTGAGAAGCTTATATTGAGGGTGAGGTGAACAAGCAAGGGTCTTCAGCAGGAGAAGAACCTAGTTATATATGTATTTTGGAAAGAGCACCCAGGTATGGAGAAAGGCAGGTCCCCACACTGGAGGACAAGGAGCAGAGGGAAGGCCATGGAAACCTAACAGGTGAGAGTGTCCATGGATCCTGATAGTCATGCCATGGCAGGAAGCTCAGGGCCAAGTGATAGGCTTTAGAGTTTGGGAGGTGGAGCCCACACTGGTGGCCCCTGAGATGAGGGGAGTTGGGAGTTCTTCACTTGCTCTGTGAAGAAAAGGGATCACTATTGGTGGGTGCTGCCATGAACAGGCACTGGCGGACCCTTGTCACGTCTAGTCCAATATTGATGTATCACCTCTGCAGGAACACAGGCTAGTGGCTTTGACTACTCATACTTAGGGAATTCAGGCCCATAGCTGTATTCCACAAAGTTCTCTGGGGCTGGGAAATAGATCAAGATGGAGTGTTGGAAGGACCAGGACTGGAGAGATAGCAGCAAACACAAGACCACAGCCATGCCAACCCCACATTTGACCACAGACTTTGTTCCTCATAGGAAGTGCTGCATTTACTTCGGGGGACCCCACAGGAAGTCACACTGCTACTCTGCAGACCTCCTCCAGGTGCACTGCCTGAAATAGACCAGGGATGGCAGGTAAGATGTTGTGATCTCTGCTCTTTCCACAGGGCTCATGTTCAGCCACTTTTCCTGTCTGGTGAGTCCTAACAAACCCATCTTTGCTTTAAATAGGGTTCAATGCCACCTTCTTCCACTGGGGCAGGAAAATAGCTGACTGCAAACCTCTATTAGTCTTTATTTAAGAATAAAGCAAATATAAAGAGAGTAGATATTAAAAAAAGAAGATAAGAATTCCCATTGTGAGAAATGCAGTGGAAAACAAGATCTGTATCCACCCTCCTAATGTATGAATTAAACACATATTATGGTCCAGAAAAGCAGGGAAATTCAGAATTTTTACCTTGATACCTATATTAGTAAGGTCCTCCAGAAAACAGAACAAATAGGGTGTGTATGTGTGTGTGTATTCATATCTATGTTGAGAAAGACTTTTAAAGAATTGGCTCATGTGATTGTGGGGATGGGCCAGTCTAAATTCTGCAGAGTAGGATGACAGGCTGAAAACTCAGAGCTGAGATTCCAATATGAGTCCTGAGGCAGCCTGGAGGCCAAATTTCCTTCCGGGGAATCTCAGTCTTTTCCTTTTAAGACCTTCAACTGATTGGATGAAGCCCTCCCATATTATGGAGGGGAATCTGCTGTATTATTAAATCTACTGCTTACCATTAATCTCACCCAAAAAATACCTTCCCAGAAATATTGAGACTAGTATTTGATCACACATTGGGATATTGTGGCTTAACTGATTTAGCGTATAAAATTAACCAATGAATTGGCACCTGGACCCATTTGGTTGGGTTCCCAGGACACACACTCTGTGGTAGACATTTGAGTGTGGGGGTTTATGGGCCAGAATGGCACATATTAAAAAAACTAGCAACAACAAATGTTGGCAAGGTTGTGGAGAAAAAGGAACTCTCCTGCACTGTTGGTGGGAGTGCAAACTGGTCCAATCACTATGGAGAGCTGTGTGGAGATTTCTGGACCTACTAAACATAGAGCTCCCATATGATCCAGCAATTCCACTCCTAGGTATTTACCCAAAGGACACAGAAACATCAATTCCAAAGAGCACCTGCACCCCTATGTTTATAGCAGCACTGTTTACAATAGCTAAGCTTTGGACACAACCCAAATGCCCAAAAATAGATGACTGGATCAAGAAGATGTGGTACATATATACCATGGAATATTACTCAGCATTCAAAAAAGATAAACACATGCAATTTGCAGCAACATGGATGGCGCTGGAAGGGATCATGCTCAGCGAAATAAGCCAGAAAGAAAAAAAAAAATACCGGATGGTCTCACTCATAGCAGGAATCTAGAAAACTTAAATAAGGGACCAGGAAAAAGAATAACTGTAACAAAGAAAATATCAAAATCAGCAAACAACGATGAACCAGAGATACTCTGTGGGGGGTGGGGGGTGGGGAAAGGAGGGCTTGGGGTCAAAATAAGGGGGTTGTAATTGTATGGGGAACATAAAAATAAAATTTAAATTAAAAAAAAAAGAGTGAGGGAAGAAGGGCGAGCAGAAAGGGAAGTTAATGTGAAGTAGCTGCAATAGAGGCCTTGATTAAGCCCCCAGCTTGCTCTGGAGCTGGCATGGCCCCCTAAAAGCTATCTGGAATTGGCTATTGTAGGTACAAAGGCCCCTACAGTAACCAGCACTGGCATATGAGCTGCTCCAAGGGAAGAGACTTAACTTTGACTGAGGCAGCTCCCTGGAGCTGAGTACAATTCCTGGGAAGCAGTGGCTGTGAGCCAGAGCAACTGGCCCTCCTAGTGGCAGGGGAGGAAGATCTCAGTCCCAGAGGGGAGCCTGTGTGGGTACCCCAGAATCTCCTGTACCTGCTCTGCCCTGCATCTGCTGCCCGGGCATCAGCAGTTGTCTGACATTCCTAAGTGTCATGATGCTTGATCTATAAGACGCTGATAAAGACAGTCGCTTATTATTGAGAGTGACTGTCACTAAAGACAACACAGGGCATTTGGTGACTTAGATCCTTATGATGCTGGGACCACAAGAGGTCATTTGACAAGACTTTGCTGAGAAAAGAGCTATGGAAAGGGCATCAGAAGTTGCCAGTTTGGAAGAGAAGGTAGAAGATGGCAACTGTATTAGGCAACTGAAAGAGGGGGAGGGAGGGCGGGATATGGGTTTAAGCAGAATAAAAGGAAACTAAGGACACTGGTGGAGGGGCAGGGGGGTGAACACATAGCAGGTACATGGACTGGAAACCTTGGAGAGGTTGAAAGATTTCTGAAGAGCAAGTACTAGGGATGATGGGCTGGAAAGAAAGGAATGTTTAAAAACGAAGTTCTGAAGTTCTTCCAAGGAGTATGAGAGAAATGTAACTGTGCTTAGTATTTATTTTTGTCTTACCCATTCAAACTTTGATTTTTTGGTATACATTGTATATTAGTAGTATCATACATGCTTATGATTTATAATTAAGTAAAAGTGCATATTTGGGGCTGTATCCCCCTCTCACTCTAGGGAGTGGGCAATCAGAAAGGTGAAGAGACACTAGGCTGTGATAGGTGGGAGTGGGGTGAGAGCCCAGCTCACCCTGGGTCACAACTCCATGTGCTCTATGACCCAGGCATGTAGGTCATGGGATAAAAGGTAATTTCCTAGAAAAGGTAAAGTCACAGCTGTCACATAGATACAAAAATATGAACGCATGCTAAAAATTTGATCTAACTAATTCAGAGGAAACCAGGCAAACTGGTTCAAAAGAGATTTCAAAGAACATGTTAATTTATGTAGAGTTATAAGATAGCTCAAAACAATGAATGCAGCTAGAATCAGATAACCCAGAAGGTTGTTCTGCAGAGAATGCATTTTCTATGAAGATTTTTTTTTTTCTGTAGAAGGTTGAGCCATGTTAGTGTGTAATAGCAGGTCACCAAGATTAGGATCTAGGACCTAGAGGGTCCAACAAGGATGTAAGCAGTTGATGAGAAATTAAGTAACGTTTGGGAGGGGAGATGGAGCTGTGAAAACAGGTTATCTTGGATGAGGACAGATTAAGACAAAGAGATTGAAAATGTTTTTCTTAATGGAAAGAGAGAGAAAAGTCATTGTTATTTCTGTTTTTATATTTTCTAAGTTTACCAAATATTTTTGGTTAAAAAATAAATAATGCTCACATTTATCAAGAGTTTTCCGAATGTCCCCGAGCCAAGGGGCTTGGAGGTGGTGAACTGTATTGTCTAGGCCTGGTGGAGCTGGGGTCCTGACAGGGGGAGACTGATCCCAGAGCCCATCTCTTAACTGCTCTGCTCTACAATCACATGGGGAAAAAAAAGTTTTATTTTTTAAAGAAGTAATTTTTAGATTTTTCTCAGCATGCACCTTGGATCCAGTAATCCTTAGCAGTTCCTTTTATAGACACCCGTGCTCTCAGCAGACAAAGAATTCAACAGGGCAACATGCACTGATTCAGAGCGGAGCTCCAGCCTGGATCAAGAAGACAGCCAAAGGGGCTGTGCCATTCCAGGCACAGGGGAGGGCCTGGGTCACAGGCCACAGTCTTGCCAAAAGGCTACCAGAGAAGCACAATGGGATCAAGAGCCAGAGAGACCCTGGACCACTTATCTGATGCATCCTCAGGATCCCCACCCTCACTTATGCAAATTTCGAGAAATGGATGCATTAGCATTGGCTACCTCTTTGGAAAAGGATATGAGGCAAAACTGCTACTCAGTTTGCGATATCAGGAGACTTGACAGGTAAGCATTACCACATTTGTAGACATTTTGTGAATGGTATGTGTTTCCATGATAGAAACTACAATGGAACAAACAGTACCTCAGATGCTCACCCAGGAGCTGCACTGTTGTAGGCATTGGAGAGAAGGTGAAAATAGGAGGAGAAAGTCAGAAGCTGTTTTAACCACAGCTTGTGAGCTTTGGGGACCACCCAGTGGTCCTCTAATAGTTTTGGAGCCTCCAGATGGCAGGTCTTGTTTTTTTCCCCAGCACACAAATCTTTGTCCACATACACCCTCTTAAAGCATTGTAATAAGAAAGAAGTTCTATTGTATGTATCATCATTTCTGTTGCTGTTATAACGTTTCACAATCAGTACATAAACACACACACACACACACACACACACACACACACCCCTTCAAAACCACACTGAAACATTCATTTTAACAGGAATTTTTAACTTAGTCTGTATTTTTGTTCACATCTCCCTTATGTATTTTCAATTCTCAGTTCTGTTCTTAAGGAAAACATACTCTTTTATTCAGATTGACAGATATATTTTCTGTATACCCAAGGGCTCAGAAACCTGTTTGAAGCAGAGAGAGGGGTACCAATACTGAGAGAGGGTAACATGCTGTTTCTAGGAATGTACTACCTTAATGCATGGACACTGAGCAGGCTAACCGAGAACAATGTGTTTGACACAATACACACCTGCTGAGATTGAATGTTATTGTTTGTTGGTCATTCTAGGACACTCACAAGGGTAGGTGAATTTCAAGTATGGAGCAACTGGTTAATTCAATTAAGCAGAATGAGATCTATGTCTATTAGGAGTCAGATGTACTTCCCTAAGAGCATTCAGATACGTGTTTTCAAAGAATGCCATGCCAGCCAAACAAAAGCCAACTATTTTCCAAAGTGAAACAGAGTGGGCAGACACATTCACTCATCAGCGGTGTTCATTTTCATGGCCTGAAAATGTATTTATAGTTCCTTACTATTATAGTCTAGGCAGTAATTGATACACCTCATAAAACATTTTGTAATGAAGCAATACAGTTCATTTTCATGGAGGAATGTTGGAATTGTGTGCCTGTTAGAAGGAGGTCTTGGCACTTTACTGGACTGGCATCTACTGCAAGGTTCATTTCTAAAGTTAGGGCAAAAGGTGAAAATAACATTAGGTTACATTACCCTTGAATATCATTCATTCCTTTGGAAGGTGTGATTTTTTTATTTGATCCCCTGTTATGGGAACATACCATTTTATTCTTTGCTTGAGTTTCACATGGCCACACCGTTGCAAAATGCTTATCTGTAAATACTGCACTCACAGGATGGAAGGATGTCAAATTCAAGTTTCCAAGTCACATTCACTTCAGTGCTGAGCTCGCTGAATGGGAACGCTCACTGAGTGGTCATGACTGAGTATTTAAGGTTCTTTCTCGGCCTAGACATATACTTAAATTCGTGTAACCAACATGCATATAGTTTCAGGAAGTATCATTTAGTGAAAAAGTGATGATACAATATTTCATGATACAAAATTAAGCCAGAGTCCTTGAAATGAGCCTAATTTTTCTCTACAGCTTCTGGGCACCACTATTCCTGAAATAGCAGAGGATGATTAGGTGGTTAAAAGTGTAATTTAACTGCAGCTGCCATGCTAGGTATATTATCAGGTAGGGTGACTGAGGGAGGAGGCTGCCGTGTAAGCAGAGGTGTTGATCAGATGGGGGGCAGAGAAGACCCCTGCGAAAGCCACTCTGGAGTTGGACTGTGACAGACACAGAGGCCTGGCCAGTAGCAGCTGTACAGCTAACAGCAGAGCAGAGACAGTAGCAGTCAGGGGCCTAGGTGCTGCCTTCAGTAGGGTTCTCTCTACATACTTCGAGGCTCTCAGGGAAAGCACCCACCCCAGGCATACCTAGCCTGGCCCACGACTCTTGCAGCTCAGGATTATCATTTGAACTTCAAACCCAGCAGTTGCTGGACTTCTCTATTTGGTGTCTTAGTCACACCACAGCCCCAACCTGCCAAATGCTAAAGTTCGGGAACAGAAGCCCTAAGTTCTTAGCTACATTTGCTGGGGCTGACAGGGTGGGGCTGATACTGGAGAGCTGGAGAAAGCTGAGCCTCATATAAGAGACGCAAAAGCAGAACTTTGTTGTGAGTTCAATCCCAGCCAATAGGGCAATTATAATATCCTGGTATTTCAGGCCTGAAAGTCTATCTACTCATCTGGCTTGTCTTCCTGAAAGAAGGACATGATTTTGGCAGCCCAAGTCTCTAAAGAGCAACTGTCCAGGGAAGTCGGACACTGTGTCTTCCAGCGTGGGTCAATATCATGTAGCAAGCAGAAATGATTTCACTCACCTCAGAGTTGGACTGAGATTCCTTTCCTTAAAAGTAGCTGCTAACGAGTTGCAGGATTTGGGGTGGGGCTTGATTCCAGGCCTCTGCCAGCTTGTACGGGGGAGGAAACTGGGCAGGGAGCCCTGGTGGGGTCTCCAGATTCTCTTCTAGTCTGTCTAGAAAAGGCTTCTTTCAACAGACAGTTTGGTAGGGAGGGAGTGAATGCAGGGAGCAGCTGAGGTCATTAAATGTAGTTGAGGTGAGCAGAGAGCTCTGGGCACCCTCTTCCCTTAAGGCTCTGAACAGGAGTCCTGCTGTATGAGCCCCAGACCCCTGATCTAACCTTGAGCTCTGGATGAAGGACTTTGCCTTTACTTGCTGTGTTCAGCTGCCAAGCAAATCCACTGTCCTTATCAGATTCCCCAGGTTGCCAGTCTTGCCCCTTCCATGAAAGTCTCCACTTGGGGACTCTCATGGACCTCTTCTTTCCTTGCTCACCTTTTCCCATGTTACAATCACATACCAGATCCTATCCCCGGGAATGGAAAAGCAGTCATTCTCCTGGGCTTAGTGGGATGATGGCCAGGACTTGATCCTGGGATATGGGGGGTGGGAAGAGATACCAGGCCCCCTCTGGACAGTCTGACTACCTTGCCTCTTGCCTCTCAAACTGATGGCCTCCCTGGGTCTCTGTCTCAGCAGAGTTAGTAGCTGGAACCCCATATCAAACCCAGAGAGCAAGGGACTCCTGGAAACAGCTGGAGGATGATGGTGCTGGGAGTTGCGGCGAGGGCAACCAGGGGTTGTGTGCTTTAGGCACCTTTACTCCCTGCTTCCTGGCAGGGAGGGAGGGAGAGGCCTCCTGCTGGGGGATTGTGAGGGGCTGGGACAGGGTTGGCCTGGGCAACAGGCTGGATTTCCCATTTTCTTGGACTAAACTTCCTTGATGTCACCTCTATGTTTACAAGAAAATTTGAATTTTCTATGCAGTGCTGTTGAGTACTTTAAGTTTTAAAATAAAATATCCCTTAAACTACTTGCTTAGATTTTTTTTAATATTGTTTTCTTAATTCCTCTTTAGTCCTTATAGCACAGTCTTCTTTCACACACATGAATGTACATGTATTCACATGAAATGCACATTGACATGTTCTCATGAGCAGAAATCATGTCTCTTTGATAGCAAAGTTCAAGTTGGGACAGACACCCCGACTCTACTGGGGAGGGGGACTGACTCTCTGGGTGTGTGTGGGTGGGTGCTTATAGCTATTGGGAGGTGCCAGAGCTAATTTCAAGAGCAAGAGGCATTGCTGGAAGGGGAGCAGGAGGGTGGGGGCATGTAGCAAAGTCAACCCATTGACTGGAGGTGGGGAAGGGAGGCTGGTGAGCAAGGGTTTATGTATTCGGTAAAAAACTAAATTTGTGTGTTTTTCTCTTAGATTTTCCTACTCATCCTCTCTAATCAGACTTTCGACAGATATTTTCTGAGCATCTTCTCTGCATGTTTGAAGTACTATGCAACACGCTCTGCCATCTGCATGAGCTGCTTTTTCTAGTCACAAAGCATCTATGGCACATTATGGAAGCCTTATTCTTTCACCTTTGTGTCTGCAGCTTCACTGCCAGACAATGAGCCTCACCCTTTGTCTGCTTCCTGTGTCACATGGGGAGTAAATGTCATTCCAGCTGGCTGCCTCTCCAAATAGGCACTTTTTCATTGCCTACAAAAGGACCTGATATTTGCACAAAGTGCTTTGAAGGTCATCTATTTGAGCTGCTCCCAACCTTCTTCTTTGACCCTTTCCATCTATTTCCTCCATTATAATAACAATCATAACCATCGTAGTCATAATAGCATCTGCATTTTACTGAGAGCTTATCCTGTACCAGGAGCCATGGATGGCTGTATAAAAATTATTTAATTTAAGCATTCCAACAATCCTATAAGTTTCTTGACATTCCCGTTTTTCTCATCATCTGCATCCACGGCCTCCTCTAGGTCTTCCCATTCACTCTCATTATCATGGGACTCTTGCAGATGATGAGAAAACTGAGGTCCCAGAGAAATTAATAAACCTCCTAGAGGTCTACACAACTTTGTTTTCTAAGTGAAGGTGCAGCGCTAGATCTGGGTCAGAGCTCTGCTTTCCATGCCATGCCCTCTTTCACATCCTCCATGATCTCCTGGGCTCAGTAAGGTGCTCCTCCAGCTCCTATAATGCACTGTGCCGCCTCCATCATAGCACTTACTCCCTGCTTTGTTACATTTTTTTTTTTTTACCACCTGCTCTTTCCATTCAATTTGAGACACCTCAAGGTCAGGGGCCATCCCTTGTTCATTATTCTCTTCTTGGTCTCAGAGCAGTCTCTGGCAGAAATTGTTGAGCCCTGATAGCTCTCATGTGATGTCATGATGCAACACCCTGAAAGGCAAGAGAAGGTGGGGAGAGGAATTTGTGATCAATGCTGGAAGACACATGGATTTCTGTTTTCTAGTCCTGAGTTGAACAGGGATGTTGAGGAAGCTGACATGTGCCATCCACTTGAAGCCCCTTCACCTACCATGGCAGCCGAAGCATATCTTACCATTTATTCTACAACAGAAGGCCAACTACCTTGTGGAGAATGTTTGGAGGCAGATTCAGCGACCATTCCTTTGCCACAGTTCTGCTCCTGGGGTTATTTCTCAAAGTCTTTGCCTCCAGAAGAGTCCCATGATAATGAGAGTGAATGGGAAGACCTAGAGGAGGCCATGGATGCAGATGATGATGTCCTCAGGTTTGTCTGAGTGGAATAAGGCTGGGCTGAGTTATTCTAGGGGAACTCAGGGTCACAATGTTTTGGTGCAGTTGATTGGGTGGTGATCTGCAGGCATCCCCTCTGAGTGTTACACCTCATCAAGGCGCTTACTGTAGTCCATAGTCCGTGATGACAATAACTTGAGTTATTGAGTTATTGTCATGAGTATTGTCATTCCTGTTTCATGAATGACACATTTGATTTTTCCTGGGGTCATTTAGTGCGTAAATGGCAGAATCAGAATTCAAGTCAAGGGTCTCCTGGACCATGTGACCAGTGCTCCCCTCCTCCTCAGCTTCCAGCTTGGGACTGGATACACGGTCTTTGTCAGACCTCTCTCTTTGGTGACTGCTTATGAAGTGCTGATTTCTGTTTTGTTTCTTCCTGCCTATGTCTGGGCTAGGTATAGTTCAGAGAAGAGTTTGGGTGTCATTGAGCTTTTGATTGAGCTGCTATATCTCAAAACAATGAACTCCTTTTTGATTAAGAACATAAGATGCCACCAGAGTCACAACTGGGGTCAAACAGCAATAAGGAAACCTACCTCATGCTGTTTTTGTAAGAGTTACATGTGCCTACCCGTATCCCAGTATAAAAAAATTAGGCTAAATGTTTCAGAAACTTTCACATAAATACATAGGCACATTGAAACCTACTGAGGCATTGACTTATGAAGATTTAGGTATAATTGAAACACACTCACTCACTTCATTCCATTGGGTCCCTGCTACATTTTTACTACAAATGATTGACCTGGCTTCTTAGTGGCCACTGTCAGGCCAGCCAATAAGGTGGGTGGATATTTGAAATTCAAATATGACAAAAGGGCTGGTTCTTATCTAAAATTGAAAGCAACAAGTTAATAGAGGGGATGACATGGAGGCTTTGAAGACTGTGCACACCATTTATGGAAAAGCTGAACACTGACAACTTTGGGAATGATGCACTATCGGCTCACAAAAGTGTAGAGCAAGCATGGCGTGGCTTCTGTGTGGAAGGCAATCTTCCCATAGGGTATTCCTAGGGGAGATAGGGTCAGCAATACTCTGGGCATTCACATAGAAGCAACCAGCAATTTCAGTGCATATTAAACATCCCAGGAGATGCACAGAGCCCTGGAGGGAGGCTGCAGAGAGGAGAGTAGTGAGGATTTTGTCATTGGAGGAGCTCATGCTTGAAACCTAGCTCTGCCACTCACTTGGTGGGTGACCAGCAACTAATGATTTTTAAGCCATCTGAGACTCAGCTAACCTACTGCCAAACAGCAATAAGGAAACCAACCTCATGCTGTTCTTGTAAGAGTTAGATGACAATGCATGTTAAGTGTTGAGCACACTACTATGTGGTAAGGACTCAAAAGGTGTTAGCTTTATAAATCATAAAGAAGGAAATGAATTCAGTGAGATGATGCAACCTTATAATCAATCCCACTGGTTTTTGTTCCACAGGACAAAGGAACTAGGCAGTCAGATTTGTGCCCTAACATGAGGTGGGCAGTGGTGGGGAAAGTACTGTTATATAGTCAAGGTGTCAGGAACCAGAGCAGACTGAACAGCCCTCAGGTATGAATGATGACATGGGATGTAGTTAGTCCTAGCCTTGTCGTAGTCAGTGATTCTCCCTGCAGAGAGGAGGCAGATACGTGGGTGTGAGTGACCAAGGTCAAGTTCTTAGCCTGGGCACCATGGAGACTGAGGAGGGGAGCACTGGTCACATGGTCCAGGAGACCCTTGACATGAATTCTGATTCCGCCATTTATGCACTAAATGACCCCAGGAAAAATCAAATGTGTCATTCATGAAACAGGAATGACAATCCTCAAGACAATAACTCAATAACTCAGCCCATAGACATGCCTCAAGACATCAGGCACTTCTGCAGCTTGAATGTTGACTTGCTGCTTGTTTTACCCTCCTTTAAATTCTCTAAGAAATCCATAACCCCCAAAATGTTAAGGACATATATTGTATATATTTTCTTTTCCATCTTGGAAATAGGAAGTCTGGGAGAGTATAAAGAGGACATTGCTTATGAATCTAGTAGTTTATTCTTTAAACCTCTACAATGAATGATTTTATTTAGTCCTTTTGCACAATAAGAAAGTGATACTAGCTATATAGTTTATATAAACAATTTACTTTAATCTTTACATCAGCTTTCCAAGTTATTTTAATAAGGTGTTCTTAATCTTCTATTACAAATGGGGCTTAGGTTTATTTAATTTGCCCAATCTTTTTGAAATAAGAGGATGGATTCACACTGCATCTGTCTGATTCTACTATTGGTACATCTTTATATTTCACCTAGAATATGCCTTTCTACGTGCGTGGACACACATCTTCTTTCCATCACAAGTTATAAATCTTGCTATTTCCTTCATAAAATATTTCTCTCTTATGAGGTTAAACACTACTCAGGCAGGGGACCTAAGGAAATTGAACTGTTCTACTTAGAGAAGGCTTCTGGTTAAATGGTGAGGCTACTCAATAAAAACTACTTATTGTTTTATGTGAACAGAGAAAGTGGAGCAATTTCCCAAAGCAGAACCTGAGGATTTGTACATGGACATTCTTTTGACTGTGATTACACTGAAGAGCCCTCAAATGTCCTTGGTCCAGAAGATGTAACCACAGGCTCCACAATCAGCAGTGAAGCCTGAGGTTCTCTGAGAGAGAGACCTGGGATGGAGGGTCTGGCCTAGTTGTTAGAACTAACTTCAAAAAGAATTTACCTGCCTCATCTGAGACTCATTTGGAATAATTCTGACTTCTTTCCAGCTCTGGGACTGATGTTGAGTAAAGCTTTGTGTGTGTGCACATGAATATGCACAAGCTCTCCAGGGCTTCCCCACATGAAAGGATTCGATAACCAACTTCCGACATCAAGATAAACCAGGACAGAGTGACATGTTGCTGCTGCATGCGTTCACACTTTCTGGCACAGATGCAAAATTTCAGTTTGCACTTTTCAGTTCTTCATTGGTTGGAGTACCCATAGTTTTCATGCTACCCCCAGTTCCCTGGAAGGAATCTACTAAGGACCTTGCTGAAAGTTCATAGAAATGTGTTTTGACATTTTTCTGTGTCTTTTCTGTGTAACTGCATATTTATAAAATTCTTTTAAAAGCACTTTCCCTTTGGACTCAACAGCCTGATTCTAGCGGTTGTATAAAGGACAAATAAAATGGTAACCTCTGATAACAAAGGAAGAATGAAGTGCTAGATACCCCCATTGCCAGTATTAGGACATATAGCTACCATAATAACAAAAAACTAAAACCATGTGGAATTAGCAAATGTACAAAAATAATAGACCCTGTGGACCAAAATATGAGTCTGGGAATCCATTTGTCTCCATGTGATGGGCACTTGGCAGTCAGCATGTCAGCATAGGTAGGGGGATGCTTTATAGAACTGAAATAGCTGGAAAGGATGATTTAGATTCAACACTTACTTCATCTACTAAACTTACATACAGTTGATTAAATTAAAAACAGGAAAAACTGATAGAAAACAAACTCTTCCTTTATTAGATCTATAGAAGAATAACAAACCTATGGTTATATCATTAGATAAGCATAACAATGAAGAACAACATTGCAATACTTAACAGTAAAACTTTTGTACAGTAACAATGACAAAGGGAATGCCAAATTTTGGAACACAATGGATTGGTAAAAAATTTTCATAATTGTGAAAAAATTAACATCTACAATATTTACAAAACCCATTATTATTTATAATAGATTAATGAAGAATGTCAATAGACAATAAATACAATAAAAATAAAAATGGTGTACAATATGTATTCAAGTCAAAATAGTGTCAGCATACTAGTTTTGGTTTATAATTACAAAACTTAAAAATAATTACTACCCAACTTTGATGATGCTAGTATTCTTAGAAATATCAAAAGTCATAAAAATACATATGCCCAATAACCTGAATATGACATTCTTGAGAATTTATTCTAAAGAAGTCATTCAAAACTAGAAAATTTCCATTTAAGATGTTCATTGACGTGTCCTCAAAAAAAAACCCAACAAATTAAAAATGGCTAAAATGGATGCATGAACCTATGCATGTGATAAAATTGCATAGAACTTAACACACATGTTTACACAAACAAACACAAATGAGTACAAGTAAAAAAAATAAATCTGAGTAAGAGATTTTATCTATATCAAAAATAAATCTGAGTAAGAGATTTTATCTATATCAAAAATAAATCTGAGTAAGAGATTTTATCTATGTCAATATCCTGGTTGTGATATTGTACCAGTTTTGGGTAAAGGCATGGGGGGTCATCTGTGTTATTTCTTATAATAGTGTGAATTTATAGTTATCTCAAAATAAAGAAGTTTAATTAAAAGAATAGTCCTTCCCAACTCTGCTTTAACTATGTGATGGCTGATCCACGTACTAGCAGGGCAACTTTTATAGAATATTACAGATCCATTGACTGAGAGTGGGTGCTTAGATTGAGCTGCCAGCTGCATCTGAATTGCACACAATTCCCCAACAGCCCATCTACATAGTCAGTGCCACCACTGTGATCCTTGTAGTATATTTTTAAAAATAAATTACAATTTTGACCGTCAGCTAAATAAATCTCTGCTGCAGAATAAAGGATTCAGCTTCAGCATCAAGTAATCATGGAGAAAAATAAACAGGAAATATACTGGAACAGCTCTACTGTTTCTGCCTCACTTTCAGTTTGACACACATTCACTGAGCACTTACTGTATAGTGGGCTCCGGGCAAGGCTCAAGGAATAGAGATGAGTGTGGACAGTGACTGTGTATGGGAGCTGCATCCTGTGAAGGAGACAAAATATAACTGTCAGCAAGGGGAATAATGTAAGATAGTATGGACATAATTGTATAGGAAACAAGAATTTTTCCAAGAAGGAAATATTAATCATGCCTGAGGCAGGTTTGAGACGGGGTGGCAAGCTCTGAGAGGAGTGGTATAAGCATGGAAAGGCCTG